TATGTAAGGCATTAGAGGTAACTACAGTAGATGTGCTTGTCTTATCTTTTAGTGCCATGACCACCTATGAAACTTAGAAACTATAAGAAATTGTTTTGCTTTGGTGGTGGTTCAGGGTTTCGAAATTCCACTGTTTACCTACATAATCATGTTTGAATTATTTTGCATAAGTTTTTTTTATATATCCAATTTGAAATTATCAGTTATCATGAAGACATAATATTAATGTTGAGTTAACACTAATCTAAAGGAGAAGTTTTCACACTGCCTGAAATTGATCTCCCCTTCACTTCTATTGCACATGATAGTGAAGAGGAAATATTTTTGTTGTTTATTCTACATTGCATGATTGTGTTACAAGCTTTTTACTCAAAATTTGAACCTCATTTGCTATGATATTTGAATATCATGTTGTAAGAAGTGCATTATGTTTGTGGTTATATTTTGATAATATGAATGTTGACTGCATTTACATTATGTGAGTGAAATGATGTATACATGAGGTTATAAATTTTGTGCTACATATCATCTGACATACTTTTATGTAACCTTAAACTGTAAGATAATCTGTACAGGAGGTGCAGATTGTTTAAAGTTGTTTGTTTTGTAATTTTTGAAATATTTAGTTCGCAACCTGCTGAATTTGTGTATGAGATTTGTTCTGCTTCCAATTTGGAACAGTCCATTCTATGTTATTTTGATTTTTATACTACAATACAAATACGGATACCAACAGTACATAGTCAGGTTATATAATACAGATACCAACAGTATATAGTCTGGTCATATAATACAGATATCAACAGTACATAGTCAGGCCATATAATACAAATACCAACAGTATATAGTCTGGTCATATAATATAGATACCAACAGTACATAGTCAGGCCATCTAATACAGATACCAACAGTATATAGGCTGGTCATATAATACAGATACCAACAGTATATAGTCTGGTCATATATGTATAATACAGATAACAACAGTACACAGTCAGGTCATATAATACAGATACAAATAATACATAGTCCAGTCATATAATACAGATATCAACAGTTTATAGTCTGGTCATATAATACAGATTCCAACAGTACATAGTCCGGTCATATAAAACAGATTCCAACAGTACATAGTCTGGTCATATAATACAGATTCCAACAGTACATAGTCAGGCCATATAATACAGATGCCAACAGTACATAGTCAGGTCATATAATAAGATACCATCAGTATATAGTCCGGTCATATAAAATGGATACCAACAGAACATAGTCAGGTCATATAAAACAGATAACAACAGAACATAGTCAGACCATCTAATACAGATACCAGCAGTACATAGTCAGGTCATATAATACAGATACCGGCAGTACACAGTCAGGTCATATAATACAGATACTTACAGTACATAGGTCAGACTGCAAGTATATACTGGCTGGCCTGGCCCTTTGGCAAAAGTAAATCACTACAGGTTCCAGCTGGCCAACGATTAAGATTTTTTTTTAATGTAAAAAGGTAATTCAGGTATATCATCTTCCCTCTACAATATTTTACAGTTAAAAAATAAAATAAAAGCTTAGGTATAAGATTCTATACTATATAAAGTAGAAAAAAGGAGGAGGTGGGGATGATTTGTAAAATAGTTGAGTTTTTGTAAATGATGTGGATATGAAACTTGTAAAATGACAGTTAGAATATCGAGTGAAAAAAACCCAACAATATGAGAATTGTCAATATATATTATATAAATGGTTATAACTATATTATACAATATCTCTTGTCAGAATAGTGTAGAGATGAAGAAAGGGGAAATTAAATACCGGTACTCACATTTAAGTTTAAATTTCATATCAAGTTAAGAAGGGGAATATAAATGTTCAGTAGGATTAAATGATATAATAGAATAAGAAAAAGAATTCATTGTAGAATAAGGAAGTAAAAAGAAATGAAAGTTCAATATGTATGTGTGTATGTTTGTAATAATGACATATCACAGTATGTGTTTGAAGGAAGTTATCTGTTGTTGATGATGTTAGAGAATCAGTTTTGTTGTTTGTATTATGTCCTCATGCAGTGCAATATATTATTCTTTATATGTTAATTATGGTTAGAATACTTCAGTGAATTAGGTATCAGTTTAATGAATAATTCTGAGTGTGTACATGCAACTGAATTCACAGATTCAGATCTCAGATGTATTTTTATTTCAACCATTTTATGAGTAACCCTGAATCTGCTGAATTTGTGTAATGGATTTGTCCAGCTTTTAATTTGGAACAGTCCATTCAAAGTAAAAGGAATTTCAATAACTAAAATACAAAAATGAGCTGCCAACAATATAGAGCCTGGTCAGACTGCACTTGTGTACAGGTTGGCCTGGCTCTATACTGGTGGCAAAGGTTTCATGTTCAATTCAATAGAGCAAACATTATTGACCCTTATTTGGCTTCTTGTCATGTAGGGGTAAAATGGATGAAAATATTGTTATGAATTTGTTTCTTTCAATTAATCTTGCATCAATGTTTGTTTAATACTGATCAGTGTATTTTTTCTGTTCAATTTGGATATCTTTTATTAATATAACATTGGGTGAATAGAGAAAATAAAAGTGCTGTAGATCTGTCCCTAGAGTAAAATAAAGTTTGTTCACCCCTAACCTGCTGAATTTTTCCAGCTCTTTTGTTGGAACCATCTATAATAAATTTTTTGGATAGTAAGAGTAATAAAAGTTGCTCAGCTCAAAGTATAGAGCCTGGCCAGGCTGTATGCAAGTTAATTACTTTTAGTTCCAGTAGGGTAAGGGCTAATATGTTAATAGCTTTTAACAACTCTGTTATTATATTATTTTAGAGGTCATTGGCTTACGACAGTGTTTTGTTGAATCTAAAATATCTCTTGTACTTTTGTATTTCCAATATTAGTGTTGTCTCTTTATTAGATTGAACTTTTCACAAAAAATTCAAGAATAGTGTTTGTTTGTATGAACTCAGTTTGTAATTGAAAAACAGTGTAGTCAGATGACATGCAGATCTCTGAATATATTTAAAGTTTCTTATTTAAAGCAAGTGCATAGATAAATGAAAAAGTTATTGTTTAGTTTGTTAATTAAATGAATTATATTATTATTTTTTGTTTGTTTTTGGTATATATATTTGCTATGTACATTATAATATGCATGTTATACATGTATGGTAATGTAATTCATCATCTGTTTTGGGCTTAAATTGTTGTGCTTAGCAATGATATGTGATAGACTATTTTACATTCTATGAAAAATAAATAAAATTGAAAATAAAAGAAAATACAGTTGTTGGGTCATTACTTTTTTGCAGGTTTGGAGGTCATATAGTGCCGTAAGGATAATAAGATAAAACATTTTTTCAGACAAGTTTCTTGATTGGGTCTCTACCCTATCTGAAAGATTATTTTTTGTTACTCCAACAAATTTACATCCTTGTGTATATTTCCCTGCTATTGTTGTGCTCTTCTTAGTTTGTCTGTTTTGAAGAAAAATATGATAGCTGAAACTTGGAATACTTGCTTAGCATGACAAAGTGCAGTTGTTTACACAAGAGGCATAATCCTGTAAGCTATATTTTTGAACCACTTTTTAACTTAGAATTTTAATTAAAAATTGGTTTCGGAAAGCATTAACACTGCATACAGTGCTCTTGTTTTATCACAGTAATTTCTTCTGATAAAAGACATTTCACAAGCAGTAATAAATATCGCACTATTAGCATTTATAATCTGCTCAATGAGATAATGGTTCAGTGAACAGTACAGGTTTATCCTGTATATGTATGCTAGACTGCTGCCCATGAAAAACCCAGCTATCTGTGTTAGGCCTTCAAAGGTTAACAGTTGTCCTATATTGATAAGATTGCTATGCAGCCAGAGTATTACAAAAAAACTAATACAAATCAAGAGTTGATATAGATTGCTTAAAGTTTAAACCTGTTAATGCTTTATGTTGAAAGATATATGATTTTTTTAACCAATCTTAAACACAAATCATAATACTTCCTTCAAGAGTAAAGTGGCAGCATGGCCGAGTGGTTAACGCATCGGACTAGTAATCTAATGATCACTAGCCGCATGGGTTCAAACCCCATCAGGGGCAAGTCATTGTTTCCTTGAGCAAGAACTTTACACTCATTGCTCAGTACTGGTTGGTTCAAGGAACACATTCCAAAGTGTGTCTATATGCTTATAGCTTCCTACACAATTGAACTAAAAGAAATTCTGAATAAACCAAGAGTAAATTGATACTTTATTTAGGATAAGTCACTGTTTTAATCACTGACACTGTGACCCCTAAGACATCTTGTTTCATGACAATAGGGCCAAGACACTTCATTAGACCTAAGGCTTGAAAAGTCATGTAAAAAGGGGCAGAAGAGATAAGGTGTTAAAAATTCATTCAAATATTGATTAAATATAAGGGTTTTTTGGTGTCTAACTTGCGTTTTAATTTTAGTTATGACTTTACTGTCATGCTGTATGTGTCATAATATGATATATATATATGTTTTGACGTAAAGAAAGTTAAATTATTAATGATGTACTTATTTAGATAAAAGTATAATCTTGTATTAATATGTTACATGTAAACAAATCAGCCCAACAAATTATGTGTGTAAAGTGAACTTCCTGGTGTGAAAGATTCTTGTTAGATATCGCCCATGATAAAGTGGTTTATACTAGTGAGCACTGCCTTACTATAATTAACGTACCTAGTTAATTATCTGGGTTAAACATCTTAACTATTGCCTATTAGTAAAACTTTGCTTATGGTTCAATAAAGCATTCTATAATTTTGAAATAAATTTTAACTAAAAAAAATACAATTTTTTTTACAATTACGTAGTATTATGGTATGTATTTGCTGAACCTTTTAAAGTTCAAGTGACAGATAGATACACTTTAAACATAAGTTATGTAAGTTTATATATGTAAATAGTGAAATCAAATGACTTTAAATATCAAAATAGATTTAACAAAAATGTGAGGAATGCATGGATATATTGAACAGACTGGAATACTGGGTTACAACTTCCTTATTGCTTTCACACTGAAAAGTTATAAAAAGTTTTCTCATACAATAAAAGTAAGTGATATTAACTGTTTAAAGATACAAAAATACTTCTATATTGACCTCTAGATATAACAATATTTCTGTAATTGGTTTTCCACCAATAGAGTAATGTTTATTCATAGTTTAGAAGAGGAATTATGGTAGTATAAAAACAAGGAAGTGAATACGTTAGCCAGACTTACAAACTTTGCTTTAATTTCAAAATATAAACTTGAGTGTGAACTGACTTTTTCCTATAAGTAGATCTGTGTTGAGTCCTTTTTCCAGTTCCAACATGAGGAATATGAAAGAGAAAGATATTCTTTACAGGTATTGTGATTTATTTTTTATAATTGGATAAACTGCACAGTATCTTTCTGTTAAACTTCTTTTTTGTTTTGTTTTATTTTTTTTCCACTAAAATGCTTTCAGTTTATACTTTTTCTGTTGTTTGTTTTTGTTGTTGTTTTCTTGCAATCATAATGTTTTATCAATTAAGAATTGATGTTTTACTCCCAGAGATCAATTATAATAATAGTCAATGTTGTGACTCAGACAACTAATGTAAAGAAGTAATAAAATACAGTCAGAACTCATTACAACGGCACTGTTGGTTCCTTAAGGATATGTCAGTATATCGAATTTGTCAGTATATTGAATTTCATCATTCATCATGTAATGATATGCTTATTCACTGGTATCTGAAAATTATGTATTTAGATCTATAATAAACATCTATAATGAAAAAGATTTGTGTGTTTATGTGTCCACTTTATTATACACATTACATATCATACACATAAAACAACATCTTTATTAAAATAATAACAATAAAATAGTTAAAGATGGATATGAAAATGATAATATTGTAATAAGGTGTAACAATCAACTGACCAAGCTACAATACCTGTTTTAACACCTAACGGCTCAATGATACGCGCACTTGACTGACCAATTGTCAGTTTAACGGGTACTGATTATATAGAAAATAAATGTTGGTTTCCAATTTTATTGTGTCGGAGTCGGAATACGAATTTTCCGTTATAAAGGATTATAATAACGTTGAAAAAAATTGGTTCCCACCAATTCACTGTCGTTATTTGAATTTGTCAGTATAATGGATTCCGATGTATTGAGTCCTGATGTATTAAACCTTTATTTTAAATATTTTTTATTTATGACAGTTTATATTTCAATTTTAACTTAATGAATCATTTTTTTTGTAAATCATTTTTGTTTTCAGGTATCATAAGTTAATCATATATGAAGCAGTGATATTTTTATGAGTGGATATACATGTATCAGTAATTACCCATCATCATGGCTAATGAAAACCTTTATGAAGACTTCAATGACCCTACAACGAATGATCAGACATTAAATGAAAATTCACCAAGTTGGTATTGGGGTCAAATGTCAAAGGCTGAGGTCAAAGAACAGCTGCAAGACCTACCAGATGGTTCATTTCTGGTGAGAGATGCTTCCACACCAGGGGACTTCACTCTTACCATCAAGAAGGGAGGAGTTAATAAACTTGTGAAAATATATCATAAAATGGGATTATATGGGTTTGCTGAGCCCTATGACTTTGGTTCTCTGGAAGATCTGATTCAGTTTTATAGAGATAATTCTCTGTGTAAATACAATGCTAAACTAGATATAAAACTGTTGTATCCGGTGGAACATTGCAAGAGAGATTCGGTAAAGTTTCTCACTATTTTATTTATTCCTTTTACATGTGTTACATAATGATTTACAATACCACACAATTCACTAATTGCAATGACAATTTTATAAATATTACAACATTGAATTCAAGATATCTAAAATTGAATTTCACTGTGCTCAAATTTATTTTTAATAGGTCTCTATTTTCAGACCTTTCTTTAAGTTAATTTGTAGTACACTCATATAAAACAATTTCATGTATATAGGTTTTCAAATCAATTAGTAAGTGAGCTCTCTAATTATTTAAAGATCTCTTCAAATATATGAGTACATGTAGATTTGGCATTTCATAATCAACCCTTCACCTGCTGAGTGCAATGCAATGAATCTGCCTTGATTTAAATTTGGAACAGTCATAGTTTCAGTATCAAAGTTAAGCTTCCAACAGTATAGTACATGAATGTGTATACAAGTGGCAAACACTTTTCACTTTCTTGGCCTTGCTGTATGCCAGTGGCAAACACTTGCCTTGATGTATGCCAGTGGCAAACACTTATCACTTTCTTGGCCTTGTTGTATGCCAGTGGCAAACACTTATCACTTTCTTGGCCTTGCTGTATACAAGTGGCAAACACTTATCACTTTCTTGGCCTTGCTGTATGCCAGTGGCAAACACTAATCGATGTCTTTGCCTTGCTGTATGCCAGTGGCAAACACTTATCACTTTCTTGGCCTTGTTGTATGCCAGTGGCAAACACTTATCACTTTCTTGGCCTTGCTGTATGCCAGTGGCAAACACTTATCACTTTCTTTGCCTTGCTGTATGCCAGTGGCAAACACTTATCACTTTCTTGGCCTTGCTGTATACAAGTGGCAAACACTTATCACTTTCTTTGCCTTGCTGTATGCCAGTGGCAAACACTAATCACTTTCTCGGCCTTGCTGTATGCCAGTGGCAAACACTTATCACTTTCTTGGCCTTGTTGTATACAAGTGGCAAACACTTATCACTTTCTTTGCCTTGTTGTATGCCAGTGGCAAACACTAATCACTTTCTTGGCCTTGCGGTATGCGAGTGGTAATCCCTAATCATTTTCTTAGCCTTGCTGTATACAAGTGGCAAAAGCTAATCACTTTATTAGCCTTGCTGTGTACAAATGCCAAAAGCTAATAACTTTCTTGGCCTTGCTGTATGTGAGTAGCAAAAGCTAATCCCTTTTTAGGCCTAGCGGTATACAAGCGGCAAAGGCTAATCACTTTCTAAGCCTTGCTGTGTACAAGTGGAAAAGGCTTATCACTTTCTTAGCCTTGCTGTGTGCAAGTGGTAAAGGCTAATCACCTTTTTAGCCTTGCTGTGTACAAGTGGCATAGGCTTATCACTTTCTTAGCCTTGCTGTGTAAAAGTGGCATAGGCTAATCATTTTCTTAGCCTTGCTGTGTACAAGTGGCAAAGGCTTATCACTTTTTTAGCCTTGCTGTGTACAAGTGGCAAAGGCTTATCACTTTCTTAGCCTTGCTATGTACAAGTGGCAAAGGCTTATCACTTTCTTAGCCTTGCTATGTACAAGTGGCAAAGGCTTATCACTTTCTTAGCCTTGCTGTATACAAGTGGCAAAGGCTTATCACTTTCTTAGCCTTGTTGTGTACAAGTGGCATAGGCTTATCATTTTCTTAGCCTTGCTGTGCACAAGTGGCAAAGACTAATAAAAAAAGTGGCATAGGCTAATCACTTTCTAAGCCTTGCTGTGTACAAGTGGCAAAGGCTTATCACTTTCTTATCCTTGCTGTATACAAGTGGCAAAGACTTTTCATTTTCTTAGCATTGCTGTGCACAAGTGGCAAAGGTTAATCACTTTCTTAGACTTGCTTTGTACAAGTGGTATAGGCTAATCACTTTCTTAGCTTTGTTGTGTACAAGTGGCATAGGATTATCACTGTCTAAACTTTGCTGGGTACAAGTGCAGGTTTTTTTTCCAGGATTTTGGAAACAAGACCCATACCCATGGAATTGGGAATTTTAGCGGCGTTTTGTTAAAAATTGGGAAAAATGCATTACTGAAATTTTGCAAAGATTAAACTTATGCAAACAATTACTGTCTATACTGGCGTCTTTAAAGATTTAAGCACTATTACAGTGAAGAAAGCCTTATTTGCAAAGAGTTTAGAATTTTTATTCAATATTTTTATTTTGTAACTTTCAATTGGGAATTTTTTCCTGTGGATTGGGAAAATAATATACTATTTTCAATTGGGAATATGAACCAATAACAGCTTTAAAATAAGCCCAAAAAAATCTCTGAAGTGGCATAGGCTACGGTAATCACTTTCTTAGCCTTGCTGTGAACAAGTGGCATAGGCTAATCACTTTCTTAGCCTTTCTCTGTGCAAGTGGCATAGGCTAATCACTTTCTTAGCCATGCTGTGTGCAAGTGGCATAGGCTTATCACTTTCTTAGCCTTGCTGTGTACAAGTGGCATAGGTTAATCACTGTCTTAGCCTTGCTGTGTACAAGTGGCAATAGGCTAATCACTTTCTTAGCCTTGCTGTGTACAAGTGGCATAAGCTAATCATTTCTAAGCCTTGCTGTGTACAAATGCCAAAGCTAATCACTTTCTTGGCCTTTGCTGTATGTACAAGTAGCAAAAGCTAATCCTTTTTAGGCCTAGCTGTGTATACAAGCGGCAAAGGCTAATCACTTTCTTAGCCTTGCTGTGTACAAGTGGCAAAGGCTTATCACTTTCTTAGCCTTGCTGTGTACAAGTGGCATAGGCTAATCACTTTCTTAGCCTTGCTGTGTACAAGTGGCATAGGCTAATCACTTTCTTAGCCTTGCTGTGTAAAAGTGGCATAGGCTAATCATTTTCTTAGCCTTGCTGTGTACAAGTGGCAAAGGCTTATCACTTTCTTAGCCTTGCTGTGTACAAGTGGCAAAGGCTTATCACTTTCTTAGCCTTGCTATGTACAAGTGGCAAAGGCTTATCACTTTCTTAGCCTTGCTGTATACAAGTGGCAAAGGCTTATCATTTTCTTAGCCTTGCTGTGTACAAGTGGCAAAGGCTAATCACTTTCTTAGCCTTGCTGTGTACAAGTGGCATAGGCTAATCACTTTCTAAGCCTTGCTGTGTACAAGTGGCATAGGCTAATCACTTTCTTAGCCTTGCTGTGTACAAGTGGCATAGGCTAATCACTTTCTTAGCCTTGCTGTGTACAAGTGGCATAGGCTAATCACTTTCTTAGCCTTGCTGTGTACAAGTGGCATAGGCTAATCACTTTCAGTGCCAGTAAGTTAAAGGTTTACAATATTTTCTTCTTCTTTCTTATCAATGTACAGAATTAAAAGAAAGTAAATTGTTGTGAAAAAGATGAAAGTTTTGACTATAAGTTCAGTTCACTAAAGGAACAGGTATATGCCCCAATGCTTATTATCATAATCTATTCAAGGTCATTCATAACTCTATCTATGCATGATTCTGCAATCTTTGATAATAAAGATAACTATGATTAAAACATACTCATATTAATACAGTATAGATTACACTACTGATAGTATGAATTTCATCTCTGAAGTAAAATGGACTTTGAACAGGCTAAATCAAACCAAGCCTGAAGCATTTTTGATTTTACCATTTTCGTTTTTTCTTTATGGATTCTGTTTTTCTCTATTCTTTTTGAATCTGGATGTTTTTAATGTGCTATAGGGATTACAAAATCAAGATACATGCATTGAACAGGTTCTGTCTTTGGAGACTGTTTAATTTTGTCTTGATACTGTCAGAAAAGATTTGCTATTAACACTGCTTGGTAACCACAATGGAAATAAAAAAGACTTGGTGGATAAAAACAGCATCTTAAATAAAATTTTGCCTTTAATTACAATAGTAAATGTAATGAAATGTTACAATATTATGGATAATAAAGTGAAACGTCTTATAAACTTATTTCAACAATCTATTGATGTAAGTAAAATTATTACTGTATCAATCATATCTAAATATGTATATATTTTGTAATGAGTTGCTACATGAAGTAATTTAATAAGCCAAAAGCATAAAAACATTTAAAATATAACAGTACTGTACTCCCATTACAACAATTCCATTTCTTATAGGATATCTTATATTGTAAATATTATGTATTAATATAGTATGGAGATGATGTGGCTAAGAAGAAAGCAGACTATAGAGAGTTGGTAGAAAACTTACGTCTTGCTGAATGTAATCTTGAAAATCTATTTGAGGAAAAGTCAAACCTACAGGACACTCTTCAGGAAAAAGAACTCCTTGAGGAAAGTCTTAAGGCAACAATATTTATCTATGATGAGCAGGTTAAACTTCACAGAGAGTTCCACGGGAATGTGGCAGCAGTAGATATTGAAAGGTATATGTTTATGTTCAAATGTATTCTATAGTACATTCATTTTGTGTGTAGAGCCTCAATTTGTTCACCTACAGATTTATTCCTACACTGTAAATTTCATTATGTCACTGTGTCAGTGTTACACTAAACCAGTTCTTTGTTAATTTAAAATAAAATTGCATATGTTTAAAAATTTTAATCTAATAAATATTAAAGTGTCGGCTAAGTGATAACTGTTTTCAGACCAGTACTCCAAAGATTGCTAGCCATTTATTTGAGCAAGAAACTTCATACTCATTGCTTAGCATAGGTTGGTTCCAGGAACAGATTTAGGAGAGTTTTTATAAGCTTAAAGCTTCCTACACCATCAAACTATATAAATTCTGTATAAACTAAACTAATAAATATCAAGGCAATTAAGATGGGTTTTTTGAATATGCTGCATGCAATAAGAATTTACAATCAATTTACATGTTTTGTGTGTTTCAGACTAAGAGAGAATTATAATGCATTGTTGGCACGGCTAGAGGAGATAGGGGATATAAGGGATACGGTCATCCAGGAAATTGGTAAAATAATGCAGGAAAACCGAAGTCTCATGGGAGAAATATCTGAACTGAAGGCAGAAGTCAAAAAACTTGCAAGAGATAAGGCAAAGAGAAAAAGGTTAAGATAATAGAAGAGAATAGCGATTTTTATGTTACCTTAAGCATCTTAAGATAAGAAATGACCCTCAAAATGGTGACCAGGGGAGGCAATGTGTGCTACATGAAAAGCATCATTATAGTGCATACATTGCTTGACAAAATGATAAAGTCATGTTAAGTTTTTAAATTTGTCTTCCTTTTGGGTGCTAGTAGTGTAACAACAATCAGGATAGACATATATAACCAGTATAAGGCCAGGCCAGCTGGTTGCTTAAACATGTTACAGGTGGTACTTTAAGCATGAGTATGTGAAGAAATAGTGGGGCTATCCTTATATGATAACTAACCCTGTATAGTACGTGTTGCACTGTTCAATCTTCATAGTTACTCATTTAACCACTAAAAACCTCTTGCTTGTCTTAATGGTCATAATGGTAGGTCACTGACCAAGACATATTACTCACCTTTCTTCCTGCATGGCTACTGTTTTGCTATAAAGCACTGGGAAAAGTACTTAGAGCATGCTGTCCATGACAGCTCTTTTACATAATACTTTCACATGTGATAGTTTAATTCAAAGCAGGACAAATTTATTTTTAATAGGTACAAGTTTGCTAGTTGATACTTAAACTAGAAATGTGTCCATTGGGCACAGTGCCCCCGCACTCCACTGTTTTGTCAATCTAATGACTCTAGTTGAAGGGTAAAATGCACAAATACTGAATTAATCCAAAACTCAACCACAAGGAGCATAACTACACATGCTGACCAACATTTTTGTGAACTATCAGGACTACAGGTCAAATACTTTTTGAGCTTTGCATGAACAAGTTGATAATTGCAAATTTATACTAAGTCAAGGGCAATAACTCTAACAAAACTGAAATAATGCACACACAAAATCCCAGGACTGGTGCACAGCTTCACATGTTAATCACCATCCCTGTAAAGTTGGCTGATTCTAACTTAAGCACTCAAGGTACACATAACACAACATTTTGGAATGGTTTTTACAAAGTCAAAGGCAATTACTCTACAAATTCTTAGTAAATCCACAAGGGAAACACCAGGTGCACAACTCCACATGCTGATCAACATTCCTGTAAAGTTTCATGTCTCTAGGTCAAATATTTTGAGCTACACACAAGTTGAAATTTGCAAATTTTACTACTGTAAGTCAAGGGCAATAACCCTACAAAAACTGTATTAACCAAATACTTCATGAGCATTTTGTGAAAAATGGCTGTTTTCATTGAAAAGTCTCCTGTTACAAGTTCAAATTGCTATAATACTATAAAAGCTGCTTCAACACTAATCAAACTTGGCGCAAATGTTGACTGGACCATTGCCCTTGCAACAACATGCTCAGGCTTAAATTTTCTGTTACCATGGCAACGAGGGGACATCTCAAAATTGCCAAAAATCACTATTTTGCGTTGATTTTTTCCATCAAAATTGATTTCAAAGTGCTGCAACTTCTCAATGGATTGAGATAGAGTCAAATGCTTTTCATCGTTGGTTACACGCTACCTTATGATCAATCTGGGGTCATTAATAGCCTCCCACAAGTCCAAAATTTTCTTGGCGATGAGGGGGACCCCCCCACCTTTCAAACCCCCCATACAGAAGGGGGCACATCCCCCTTCTGGCAACCCCCTGATGTATCTTTTGGTTGGGGGGCCGCGCCGAAAAAGAGGTCACTTTTTTTAACAACATTTCTCAAACAAAAACAAGTGTTGGGGGCCTAAATAAGGCATTATTTCACCATTTGAGACAACACAAATTTGAAAAAGGCGTTAAAAGGCGTGTATATAACGTAATGGGTTAATCCACAAGCAAAACACCAGGTGCACAACTTCACATGCTGACTAACATTCCTGTAAAGTTTCATGATTCTAGGTCAAATACTTTTTCAAGTGTCCCCCATGCATTATAATGATTATTTCAGGCATGAGCAGGGCTACCTGAATAGAAACACTAACTGTCTGTAAACAAGCTTGATTGGGATTTCAACCCGAAGCTGTGAGTGAATAGGAAGTGATTTAAAGTCAGCTTCTTTCTAAGAACCCTTTTAGATTTTTTGATAACTACATGGGGACATGCATGTCATGATTCAACATGTTTGCACCACTAGTTAGTTACTTATACACACTGCATTGATTTTTTGTGTCGCCTCTACGGAGTAGTGGCGACATATAGGGATCACTTCTCCGTCGTCTGTCTATCCGTCTGTCCGTCCGTCCGTCACAAAACTTGTCCGGACTACTCCTCATAAACTACTGGTGCAATTACATCCAAACTTTACAGGAATGATCAGTACCAAGTCTAGTTGTGCATGTTGTCAGCATTTTCCGGTTCAATGATTTTTGTCAGAGTTATGGCCCTTTAATAATTTTTAATTTTAAAGTTTGTCCGGACTACTTCTCTTATACCACTAATGCAATTTCAATGAAACTTTACAGGATTGATCTGTAGCTCAAGTCCTTGCGCATATTGCACGGGTTTTCTGGTTGAATGATTTTTGGCCGAGTTATGGCCCTTTGATAAAAAGGTGTTTTTTTCTGTGTGTTGCCAGATACACAAAAGCTTGTCCGGACTACTCTTCATAAACTACTAGTGCAATTTTATCCAAACTTTACAGGAATGATCAGTACCAAGTCTAGTTGTGCACTGTCCGCCTGTCTGTCCGTCTGTCACAAAATTTGTCCCAACATGAAATTGGCCATCATGAGGCGACACATGTGATTACTGATCGCTCTTGTTTGAGCTAAGATAATTTCATTGCAGAAATAATGCTCTAGAAAATTGATGTGTAAATGTTTTGCTATAATTTATTTAAAAAAAACCACCAAGCAATAATTGAAAAATGAGGAAAACACTGTCACAGTTTTAAAAATCTTTCAGATCAGACTTTATAACACAGCTATCAACTTAGTAACAAGCAACAACTTGAACAATGTATTTCCTGATTCAATAAAATTGTTTAAGTTGTTATGAAGTGTCACCCTGATGATTGTTACAAACAGTGATTTAAATAAAGATAATTATATAAATTAATCATAATTATAGCGTATGAATAATTAATAGTCACAAGGGTTGTAATAACAGATTTAATATTGTACTTATCTCAAGTGCAAATTTGACTAATTTCTTGACGTTTTTAGTAAACCAACCCTAAAATAGCACAAGCTTAACTGGGAATATTAGATATGGAAAACTGATTTATAATTTCCAGTCTGTTATATTTCAATCTTCTATTATTGTCATAATAAATTATTATCAGATTTTTTACTCTTTATAAAAAGTACATATGACTGTCATCATCTGCACTTGGATATAGGATCATCTCAAGGGGACACATATTTCGTTGTTGTTGTTGTTTTTTTTGGGTTTTTTTTTAAATTTCATTTTAGAATTTTAACTCAAGAAGTTACTATTTCAGTCAATCTCAGACTTGTTTTCTAGCTACATGTATTTGTTGTGCAGCAGTGGTGGCCAAATATTGTAGTAAACCTTGGAATATTGACCTATCTGCAGACTGCATGCTGTTTAACCTGACCCTGCACCAGAAACTGAACAATTTCAGTACTTCAATATTCATGGCAAAACTAATAACAGCTTCAAAGTAAAGCTGCATTATCATGAAATGTGCTCATATTGTTTGTTATTACTTCAGTATATGGGAAAATAACCGGAAATTGTTATAAATAGCATACCAAAATAAATGGATGTCACCCTTAATAAAAGTAAATCTTGTAATTTTCATCAGATTGGTTTAAACATATTTATTAAAGCTCGATTGGGAAACAAGTTATTGCAACTTATATTAATCACTTTCGAGTCTGCTTCCTGGAACTAACCAGAACTCGGGTGTCATATGAAGAAACATGGTCGTGACCCGAGTAGGGCTCGGACCCATGATCTCTGGGTTGAGAGGCAGACACTGTAACCATTAGGCCACTGCTCCCCTTTCATCAGATATCATAAAATAAGATGAAAATTTATAATGATATTATGAGGATTGAATCTGAATATATATCTCATTTTTCAAGTACATTCTTTCATATTTTAGTCCAGCCATTCTCAGTGAGATATACTCAATATTTAACTGAACACTGAAATAAATATTATCTAGATACCAGTAATATGGCTATTAAAATATTTTAATTGTACTTTTCATCACATTATTCAACAGGTGGTTAGTTGATACCAACACTTTACCACATGCAGTTGAAGATACATGGATGGTTGGTTCATGTGACAGAAAGGAGTGCAACGCACATTTAGAAAATAGAGTACCAGGGACATTTCTTATCCGCAAATCAGAGAAAGATAAAAAAACATCATATGTTCTTTCTATAGTGTAAGATCACTATCTATTCTATTTAATTGGTTGACTAATTTGTTTCAATTATCATTTTCTGAAAGCATGCAAAGTTAAAGAAAATTCTCTGTTCAAGTTTGAATTTTCCTTTTAACTACGGTAACTTTTACAATGCAAAGTCTATACAAAGTGCAAAGAGTTGCTAATGGCCAACAATCCAGTGGCTCAGTGGACATTTGATATTTTCTAATCAAATATACAATAGAGATAATTTTATCCTCATATTTGATACAAGCATCATTTTCTGGTACTGCATATGATTGTGTTAGTTTTTTGTACTTTGGTCACACACAGTTGATTTTAATAAGGAAAATTGGGTATTTATATACAAAGGCTCATATACATGTATAAAAATATAGGTCAACATACTTTCTGAAACAATTAGTGTTCAATTAGCAATTAAGTAGAGTGAATATTTTATGACTGGGCAATCTCATTAAAATCATAACCTAACTAGCACTTCGGTAGGATCTGATGACATCACATTAGAGGTCGCCTTACTTTGACCTTTTAGTGATCATCATAGCATAGAGTAAAGGAGCGAAAACAATGATCTGATTTTAAAGAGACTGATTGACTGGAGTGAGCTCTAAATAAAGTGTTGCATATGTATACATGTTTGAATAAGTACAAAGTAGCCAGTTATTTTACAGTAACAATGCAAGAAAATATTTAGTAAAATGGAATGACTTTGACAGAATGTCTTGTTGACACCCTTCAAGCATTTTAATATTATTCTTACTGTTTTATTTTATTCAGGGACACAAGCCGCATTGTACATATTAAAATACTTCAGAAGGAAACAGGTTTTGGGTTATCAGAGAGAGTATGTAATCATCCATCACTGATGGACCTTGTTCTTCACTATGAGAGTGTATCAATAGCAGAACATAATACCAGTGTTGATATAACACTAAGATATCCTGTCAGGAGTAAAGATATTGAAAACTTCTATGAGGCAGAGCCAATCTATGGTTTATAATGCAAGAAACTACTGAGAAATCAGAGTAAATAAATGTGGTTAATAATGCAAGAAACAACCAAGATGTCAATTGTTAGTTTCACTTTAATAATTCATGTATATTGTTTATAATGCAAAAAGAAACAGAGAGAGTCAATCTTCAGTTATAATTGCAATACTGGTTGGAGAGATAACTCCGACACTAAATCACATACTTTTTGTAATATCTTAATTATCGTCCTGCATATTTTAAATATTGAACCACCTAAATAAAGTTCAGTTCAAAGACTTTACATTTCACTACAAAAATTATGTATGAAAGTGGGAATTGGTACTTCTTTAAGGTCCTAAATGGGGTATACAAAACATGGTCTTTTTACCCCTAAACAGTAGATAAAGACGACACTTAAAGTTTTAAGTAAAAAATGACAGGAAAATCAGCATCATTAATTTATTTTTACATCTTTTATGTTTTATCTATTTTTTGTTGATGTAAAAACAAGTTTTCAAAAATATTTCCCAAGTCAGTGGCCTGTGGTCAATACATTTCTAATTACCTCATTGTAATTTAGTAAAAAGAATGTTTTGAAGCAGTTTTTGCCAGCGAAAAGTTTCAGTTAATTTAAAAATATTAAAAACTTTACTAACTTACACAAAAAATCATCACATTCTGTCTTACTCCTATACTACTAGGTGACCATATGCTTTTTTGTTGAAAAACAAAGTTATAAAAATTATATTTATCAAGTGTCGGGGTTATCTATGCGTCGGAGTTATCTCTCCGACCAGTAAACAATTATAATTCAAGAAGCAACCAATAGTTTAAACACAATGGAGAAACTAATGAAGAAATAGATATTTCCCTTACCTACTTAGAGACAGGGAATTAAAAATTTAGAATTTATTATACAACATTGCTATTATATCAAAAAGTGTGAGAAAGATCAGGATATACTGTTTTATTTGTTAAAGTACTTATATTATTAGTTATAAAGATCGTTGACAGGTTATATGGCCCTATATAAACGGCTATTTGTAAATATAACCCGAGCCGTTAGGCGAGGGTTATATTGCAAACAGCCATTTATATACGGCCATATAACCTGTCAACAATCTTTATAACGAATTTATAATACAGCAAGCATCATTTTTAGAGAAAAAATTAAGATTTCCTCATGAATCGACAGCAGCCGTGTATATAAAACTATATAAACGTCACGATTATCCAATGAAAAATGACGTTACAAACGTGCAGTATTATAAAAATAATAAATATGGCCATATCATATGATATAATTCTGTATACAACAGTTACATAAGAAGGACATGGAAATGTAATATATTGCATGTATAATTGATACATATATATTTAGTACTTTACAAGTAGTGACCAACAAGGTCTTTTAAAACGGAATAAAGATGCTGCTTTTATTATGTTTTTAAGAAAGTTAATTATGCCAATATTTTGCAAAATTGTGTATACATGTGTATTAATTATGCTTTTTGATTTGCAAATACAAAAATGTACGTAATTCAACTTGCCAATACTTTTTTTTGGGTGAATTTATGTATTTAGTGATGCATATATTTCAGATATTATTTTAAGATATTATTTATTATGTTCCATGATCTTCACTTAAATTTCTAATGTATTAAACAGCTGGATTGCTAGGTGATATAATAGCTACAAACTTATTACATGTATTACGTAATATATAACATAACTTTTATCATATTATTATAAATCTAGGATAGCAGACATCAAACTTACATAGAGGATGTTCAGGCTTTTCTATAAATACAGGATTTATTTTCATCAAGTGGTATGAAAATAAATATTTCATAAGTGGTGGCAACCACAAGTGAAATATGATAATTTTGAGACCAAAAGACCCTTATTTATAGAAAAACTTGAATTTTACATTTATGATATACTTTTTCACTTTTCTGACCATACAATTCGACACACTTCCCCTTTAATTTTGTGTATCGTGTGAATTCAGAAGACACCTATGAAAATACAGAGAAGTGAAACACTGAAAATAAGGAGAATCCAAATAGGCATTTTATTTCATCAATATTTCATTCTGAAGTATATGATAAATATATTTAAAATTGTCATCATTATTTTTTCATTATCATTATTGTTTTCATGTTTAAAGATGTTTATTTGATAAATAGTATTTCAAAGGAATTAATAGACAATTAAACATTGTGGTTCAAAATGAAATCAATTGATATTTGTTATGCTTTCTCTATATATAAATTCATTTTTCTTTGGTTTAGACGTGCACCAAAATAATTTAGGCCATAACTATGGCACCAAAACAGGAAAGATGACTAGCCAACCTAAGGTGATACAAACTTAACACAAGTGGTGAGTCAAACCACCTCACCTGTTGGAGCTAAGAGATGCAAAGACTCCAGTACTAGTTGCCTATTTCGCTCACACAGGGATAAACTGTTGCTACAATTCCAATGCCTCAACCCTTAAAGGCAAACCCTCAGCTACAAATTCAATGCATTTCATCTTTAACCTGTTGGAACTGAAAGTGACAAGCCTAGGCCCCAGAATTGATTGACAAAGAATATATATTATGCATGTTTATAATATACATCCCTGGTATAACTAACAGCAAACACATATATTTTACATGTCAATGAAATAATAATAATCAAATAACTTCTTTATTTTTTTTTAATTATTTCTAAATCTAAAAATAAAACTATTAATATTAATATTATCATGGGCGTTTGGAATAGTTACAGTCTTCTTTTTTTTCAAACATTTGAACTCCAAAGATCATTTCTAATTTAAAAGTTTGTTTATCAACTTCATAATAATAATAATAATAATACATTGTTGAAGACACTGAGCTATATTTGTGTTGTAAGTTTCTGATGAGATAATTCTTTTGAATGAATTATAAGGGAGACAACTTCATGAATATTATATATTTTATTTCTTCACGGCGTCTGCCCTTTGAATAACTATTAATACACTTGCGACAAAGGTAGGCTGTATTTAGACATAAATAAATTTCCTTCTTCCTGTTCTTTTCTTATTGTCCGTTTGTTTTTTCCTTAGAAAGTGCTCAGGTTAAATTGCCATTAATGCATTTGATTTATTATATGTGTGTGTAATATGAACAGCTTACTTGTAATAAAAATCCAGTCTCAAATAGGAATACATACCTTGTAAATTATAAGAACATTTGACATTCTTTGGGTGTAAATAGTCTTATATACTGTAACAACAGGGTCTTTTAAAATCAGGGTCTTTTAAAATTTCTATGTGGAAGACTCTGTGCACCTACATGAAGTATACATGTAATTTTGGATATCAATTAGGTGCCATTACTTCCCACTTGTGTTATGAAAAATATAATTAATGAAATAAAATTAGATGTCACATTGATAACAAGAGCATCGCTAGGCGGAGCATATATGCCCGAAAGTGTTTTTTTTTTTAGTAAGGATGAAGCATTTGTAAGACATGGGAATTACATAAAGTATTACCTCCTTCAAATAGAAATCCTCCTATGAAGATTGAATATTGTGGGCCAAATGGAACTAAAGTTATGCTCCGGAAACTGTTTTCAGTTTTAAGGTAATAGTGACCTTGAACTTTGACCTTGTGACCCCAAAATCAATAGGGGTGTTCTAACCAATATAGACAATCATCCTATGAAGTTTGAACACTGTGAGCCAAATGGAACTTAAGTTAGGGTATGGAAACTGTTTTCAGTTTTAAAGTAAGAATGACCTTTGACCTTGTGACCCCAAAATCAATAGGGGCCTTCTACCCAATATGGACAGTCATCCTTAGTCTGGATTACCTGCCCTTTGTCTATTTGTTTACAATAGAAGCTGGGAACCAGACTAAGTCATCCTATGAAGTTTGAACACTGTGGGCCAAATGGAACTTAAGTTTTGTTCTGGAAACTGTTTTCAGTTTTAAGGTAATAGACTAAGTGACTTTGACCTTGTGACCCCAAAATCAATTGGGGTATTCTACCAAATATGGACAATCATCCTATGAAGTTTGAATATTGTGGGCCAAATGGAACTTAAGTTATGCTCCAGAAACTGATTTCAGTTTTAAGGTGATAGTGACCTTGACCTTTGACCTTGTGACCCCAAAATCAATAGGGATCTTCTACCCAATATGGACAATCATACTATGAAGTTTGAACATTGTGGGCCAAATGGAACTTATTAAAGTTATGCTCCGGAAACCAAATTGCTAACTGACGGACGGCCGGCCGGACGGACGGACGGAAGTTCTCACAGGACAGTAATTATGTGGCTACTCTATTGTTCTCTTTTTTGTTCTTTTTAGCCACACAAAAGAAAGTAACCACATAAAAGCATTACTGAATGAATGGCATCAAAGAGAAAGAACAGTTACCTATTGTCCCTCTAGCCACATAATTATTGTCCTGTGAGTGCGGACGGACGCCAGGGGGTATAACATAATATGCCCGAAATTCTTTCGGGCATATAAAAATTATCATTAAATATATTGCGAAGAAGACACCACAGTTAAGGCCCTTTAATATACGCGACGGCAACGATATCTATTTGGGGATGACAGCGATATTTTATTAACATTCGCGCACCTACTCACTCTAAGAATGAGCCATTTCAGGATAAGTAAAAACAACCTTTTGCAGCACTTATAAACTTAAAATACCACTGTGAGTAACAATATTTACATATAAATATAATGATATTGATAAGTTCTTTGTTCGAACTTTACGTTTTAATGAGTTCTCCTATTTCATTTTGTACGACCAATTCATGGAAGAGCAAGATGGCGGACAAAGTTTGTTGTCACTAGATACACGAAAATTTTACCATAGATTTTTCTTTAATGCTTGGATATATAAAGGTGACGTAAAAATTTTATAAATGCAATAATGAATTGATATTCTGGCACTTTTTATCATATAACAGGGGTGAAAAAGAATTGTGTTTTTAGGACATATCTACTTTTTATGAGCCTTGATCCTTCATCTACGGAAAACCTCAACAAGGCTCAATTTATCTGCTTCCTTTCATAATATTATGACACTAAATTGACTAATAAAGTTAGGAAAATGCTACAGTAACAGGTATACCAAAAAGTATATAGAAGAATAATTAAGTAATTGATACATTATTGCCCTTATTTATATTGTCGAACCCACAAATAGAGGAACAGTAACTAGGATGGTACCCTATGGTACCATTGGTCTTATTATTTCCAGCAAATTTACAAATAAAAAGAACTTGTGTTTACCATATGATCAAATTGGGTTTAAGTGTCGCATCTTGACTTTAAAATACACATTTCATTATGAACCGCGTTAAAATGACGTCGTTTTAGAAGGGAAATATGTCTTAGGATGACGTCATTTCGCCGTTGTTATTTAAGTTGTAAGTTCATACGATATTGTAAGAAAATAGTTATGGATGAAATGACTTTAATTTCCATGAACATATATCATATTGAGGTAAACCATTTTAAATATGAAATAATATGGCAGAATATGCAAGAAAAAATATCTTTCATATGTTTGCGGTTCGGATCGGAATATCCGTCCCTCGGGAACCCGCCCATGGGCGGTAACTCGGCAAGCCACGTTACTGCCCAATGGGCGGGTCCCCTCGGGACGGATATTCCGGTCCGAACCGCAACATATGACAGATTAATAATGTCCTGTTTGATTTACAATATCCCCTATACGTTTTGTTTGATTTACAATATTCCCTTAACGTTTTGTTTGATTTATAATTTCCCCTATATGTCCTGTTTGATTTACAATATCCCCTATACGTTTTGTTTGCTTTACAATTTCCTCTATATGTTTTATTTGATTTACAATATCCCGTCCATTCTTGTTATCACCATTACATTTATGATAGTAATATTCATCATTAAAACTGATGTAAATTGATAGAATTTGGATAATTATTATGAATTAAAGAACTTTTCTTCGAAATTAATTGCATTTAAAAGTTAGAGTCAGAAACTGTTGAACCTAAAAAAAAAAAAAAAAATGTTGTGTTGATGTAATGTTGTGTTGATGTAAATCAAATGCTGAAATAAACTTTGAGCAACTAGTACTTCATTAAATATCATCATAAAACATTTGTTTATTTTCTCACTTCTCCCTAAATTTTCAGTCCAAGGTTGTCCCTGGCATTATTTTAAAGTTAAACAAAAGAATCAAGGTGAAATGACTTGACGTTTGGTAGTTGGGAGAAGTTAATTCATGTGCATATATTTCATAACTAACAGCAAATTTGCCATAACAAAAACATACATTTCTTTTCAAATATGTATTTTATAATAATCTTAACATTAAAATAGAAATTAGCATGGTTTACTTGCTTAATAAGTTGTTTTTATGTGTGACCTACACAGCCACGTTCATGTATTTACATTTTCGACTGCACTCTCCAGAGAGAGGCTGGGGTGCAAGATCCCAGATTATGTCTTATCCTGTTGAAAACATGCCTGTTCAATGAAACACAAATGAAAACTGAAAAAATTCATATAAATTTTCAAGAAAAAATGAAAAATGAGAAAGTGTGCGGAACCAGGTCCTGTGCGGAACCGGGTACACTGACTCTAGAGTATGATACCGTGGTATGTAAATGAATGACCCTTTCTGGCTTCAGAAGAATTTATTTAACAGAATAGGATGTCACTGCAGTTTAAGCAGACAACATTCACTTGTCAAAACATGAAATTATCAGTTAAACTGTAAAATATGGGGTAAAATAAAGAAGTATTTTCAACACATGCGGGCAGCTTTGGATTTTCCTATCAATGACAGAAATGTATTTGAAATGAAAATATTTCTTACAATTACTATCCAAATTCAAAAAAGCAGCACTTCCACTTTCACTTTAATGGTGGAAACAGTCAATTGGTGGCGTTCAGAACACATTTTGTGATTACACCAGAGTAAGCAAGGACGCCGTACCGGCGGGGATTACTATATGTAAAGTCTATGGATAGAGCAATGAACTGTTAGGATGTGGGTTAATTGGTGAGATAATCTTTCAACTCCACAGTTGCAAATGTTTGTCTGGATCTGCAGTCATGCCTGACAGGTTTGACATTAATTTGAAAACAAATAGCTGTTGTAAAACTGAAAAATCATCAAGCACGTACGAGGGTTTGAAACAATTACACGTTTTGTTTAGGCCAAAAATCTACCATATGAGTTTGCTAAAGGGTTACCCAAAAAGCAAGACTGTTGGAAGTGGCCTTTACCATTTATAACTTTATTTTTGAAAGGCAATCTTACTCTGTGAAACTTCAGAAAACAAAGTTTAATCCTGATGAGCAGACATGTGATATCCAGAGGGGATCACAAAAATCCAGACATTTCTACCCAAATCCTGATTTTCTCTGTAAAATCAATTTCTATTTCGTCATTGAATAATGCATAATTTAAAAAAAAGCTCATGAAACTCGGTCGGACCTATTTTCAAATATGAGCAGTAGATTTTTACCTTGACACCAGGAATGAAAAATTCCTAATTTCATTGCAAATTTATAAAATTGTCACTTTTTATAGTAAAAACTGATAATATAATGTAGCCAGGGTTAGTTCGTAGTAATTTTTTGATTGATTTAACAAAACATTATCTTATAATTTGATTTTTGAATGGTGATGTACTATGCCAGATCACGGCCAGTAGATAACCCAATCACGTGACTCAACCGAGACATCTTTTTTCTTAGAATTGGTTCGACTCCAGGCCATTCTATTTGAAAGACCCTGCTTTCAGTTAAAAATAAGAACAAGTTTCTTTCAAATTTGACAGTATTGCAGAGATTTGCCACCTCATCGACAGGATAACTGGATTAAGACAGGGGATATTTAAATCTGTTATGATTTATCGCATAAACATAGAATAACATAGATAACATAGATATTCTTACATGTAGCTATTCCTATTATGATAGTTACAACAATTTTGTATCCCAAAGTCATCAAATGCATAGCTTTATAAACTTAAAGAAATAAGGTGGTTTTTTACAAGTTTGATCATCCTTAAGTACAGTTTTAAAAAGGCTTGTTTGTCCCATGAAATGAGAAAAGTTATTCAAACACTTGTTGTCAATTAATCTTGAATATATCGCTGGAAATGTTGACAGTATTGCAGAGATTTACCACCTCATCGACAGGATAACTGGATTAAGACAGGGGATATTTAAATCTGTTATGATTTATCTCAAATATTGACTTTGGCTACAGGAAACTCTTGATAACATTTTCATAAGTAGTCGATACAGTTAAAATAAACTTTGAAAATAGAAGAGTAGTTGCCTTAAACCCTCACGAAGGACCCCCTACCCTAAAGTTACAGACAATTTTATAGTTTCTATGGAGTATTTATTGCTATTGCCTGATCTTGACTTGGATATTATGTTTAATGATTAGGCATTTGAAAATCAGAATATTAAAATCTGCAGGAAATTAAAAAGCAACATCAGAATTGTTTCAGAGCAAAGTTAGGGTTTAGTTGTTTTTAGTATATTTTTATTTGTAAGAGATGAATTATTATACTAGTTTAAGGAAAGTCAAAATTAATTAAATTTTGAGATAAGTGCATGTACTTGAACTGCATGTTTGAATATGCATTGTTTCAGATTTTTACATGGTTTCATCTCCTGTTGAAATAAAATTTTGTGTCTATCTTTGGCAAAGGTATTGAATGTACAATGAAACTATCATGAGTCATGTATTTAACTCTGGTATCATAGTTTGGAGACCTTTCTGTGGTTAAATCGTATACATATACATGCACCGTGCGTTAACTGGAGTGCGGGTATTAGTTACCCGCACTCCAGAGCATGCCCATTGATTGGCACATTTTTGCTGGGGTTTACATATTGTGACGGCAGAGAAAGGGAAAGCGACAGAAATGTCATATTCAGATGTTCGTTCATTGGTTCATTTTTGCCGGGGTTTCATATTGTGACAACAGGGAACGTGCTTTTATGTTTGACTATGATACAAAAGAGAAAGAACACCAAAACACTCGGCAATCTGATTAATACTCGGGGGGCTACGCCTCCGCGTACAAATCAGATAGCCTCGTGTTTCGGTGCTCTTTCTATTACTGGTCAGCACTTTTCTATAGCTTTATGTATATGATGTTTTAGTTTAACACTACCTGCTAGAACCAAAGTTGAGTAGCCTTGGCCCCTAATGCAGTCTGACCAGGCTCTATACAGTTCCTGTTGGTTGACTAACTTTAGATTTTCATCTTAACAACCAAAAAAAATTGATAATGGACAATTTCAGAAATGGATGCTGGGCAATTAAAGAAATTTAGCAAGCCAAGGGTGAAAAAGACAACTAAAACTTTGAAAGTAAAATAAAATGTAAATTTGTAAAATGTTATTTAAAAGTAAGCATAAATCTAACTTAGTAGCAAGAAAAATAGCGAGCTGTTTGGAAATAGTATTTCATGCTTGTCGAAACTATATTACAAGTAAAATATAATGTAAACTTTTGATAGGTGATGAGACATACCAGGAAATTTGAAAATCAGAAAAATTATTCTTACAACCTCCAGGGAGATATAAGTTTATAACTGAATGTACAAGTGGTATTACTAAATGAATGTGCTGCTTTAGAAGATGATAACTGAAGAATGAAAATATATTTACTTTTTTGCAGTGAATTATAGATTTGTGTTTATGATACCTCCATGAACCCCATACATGTATAAATAATAGAATATGATTGGTGTCTTTGAACTAAAGCTTAGACTCTTATTTTATCTCTGAAGTAACTTCATTAACAATTGATTTGACAGTATGATCAAATAGTTTATTAATGAGGTAAAGGCATAGTTTACAGAAAGGCTTGAGAGGTTTAAGTCAACTACTTAACATGCTTAAACTGAAAGTAACTAGCCTTTACCACCAGTCAGCAACATGCTTAAACTGAAAGTAACTAGCCTTTACCACCAGTCAGCCAGCACCGGCAGACTGCCTTGTATGATTCTACTGTTAGTTGACACTTCACTTTAAATGTTTGTCTTGAAATCATCAAATTTACTATTGGACAGTTCCAAAAATAGAAGCTGGACATGTCCATTTATGAAATTCAGCAGGATAATGGTCAATTAATGTGTAAAATTTCTGGTGCAAGTAAACCAGTCTGTTATAATTTATCTACAATGTTGCAGCATGCCCCAGTTAAGTTTGTAGGTGTCTCAAGATTCACTGCAAAATGATCAATGCTATATATAAATTTTAAAATAGATTAATCGAAGATAAATGTTGGCACAATTGTGCGTATTGAATAGCAAATTTTACAAAAGATTGGCTGGATTAAAGTGATATGTAAATAGCTTTAATCTCTGTGCAATGAACTTGTAAACTCGATCGTTACTTGGATAATCATCTATAAATGTTTGATACATGTTTAAATTTTTAATCAAGCTTTTCAAGTGCGTGTCAGCCTAAACTTAATTACCTCTGTTTACAGTGGATGGTGATTTTTTTTTGTATTGTGTAGCATTGGAGAAAAAAATTAGTGAATATTCAGAGAGAATTATAAAAAGCAAGTTTGAATGGTGATTATTTCTTATGGTATAGTGATATAAAAAATATTTGGTGAAAGGATAATTAAGGAAGATTAGGTATATATATGTATAATATAGTTAATTAATTATTTTGTGTTATCTATGAAATTGCAACAAATATAGAAGTACATTCAAAAGAACATGGAAAAAAAGATTAAGAAAATTATTTTTAAAGTATTATATTGTAAGCAGTCCAAATCTTATCGATTGACCATATTACTGCTTGTTTATAACTATGATTTATTTTGTTAAATAAAGCATAGAGTTCTTAACAATGGACAAAAGATTAACCTTTTTTTATAAATTGAATATAAAAATCAATGAATGAATATGAACCACCATTGATAGATATAATTACACGAGAACATGAAGATGTCGTCAACATGAAAAGTGTAGTGATCATATTAACAGGAAAGATCTTATTCTTTAATATTTGTTCAAGATTTATAAACCATATTAATAAAAGGAAAGCAAAATAAAAAAAAACATTCAATATTCCATTTAACTGAGATGAAGGTTTGGCAATTTCAATTAATTTTTTATGATCTTGATTAATTTGTTGTTTTAACCAGTATTGTATAAAAATCATAAAAACAAATCATATTTAAGTGTTAAAATGCATACTAATATTCCATTAGGCATTTTTTATAAAAGTATTTATCAAAACAAATTTTCTAACATACTTTTTTTTTTTAACTTTTAGGAAATGGTGCTAATTATTTGTCTTCTTCCCCATATATGAAATTTTATATATTTTCCCATTAGCTGATGGCACTAGAAATTTCATACTTTCTGACAATACTTCTCAATTATTTTCTTATTTTAGTCATAGATAGAATGTATTGATTACTTTTACAATTAAGTCTCCTACTATTTTATTTATGAAGAGAATCATTCCTGATTAGATACACTGATTGTATGATTTGTTTACAACAAATTTTCACAATAGTCTAAAGTTCTCCCATACATCAGAGAACTGGTCTGAGACAATTTAGTTCTTCCATATTTGTATGACTTATATAATCTGTTCTGGTCAGATAACCATGTATGTATTTGTGCAGTCTGTTAACAGATAAACTGTGTGACAGATTAATTACATGCAATTTCTTTATTGATTGTATTAATCAGTGTTATGGAAATTCTGTATTGTTTTTATTTGTTTGTGTCGTCAGACCAAACAAATAATGGTAGCGATATTTCTGACTCTAATGCTGTTAATTGCAATTGCCGAAAGTAGTCCGCTTTTTTGAAGCGGTTACTTCCCTTTATATGTACACTAACGCCGAAAAATTCAGGGGAGATCACTGCGTAAAGATGGTCAAATGACAGGCGCGTTAATTTTCAAGCAAAATAATTCCCGAATGGTCGAAGATTTCTAATATTGTTTTAATCTTTATAGATATACATGCTTATAGTAAGCACCATGATTATTTACACAAGTGTTAAACAACAGTTAGGGTCGTTACAAACCCTAATTTAGAATAACATGGTTTTCTTCAGGCCGTTAACAATAAAAAATTCACCGTGGCCGAGGGGTTTGCGCGCTCGCTTAGGAAGCGAAAGGTCTGGAGTTCAAATCCCAGTTAATGCAACTCATTTTTTTTTCAAACTGTTTAAGTCAAATAAACATTGGATTGAATATCAGTGTTGCAATTAGTCTTATAGCCAATTTGCTACAATTAAAATGCTGAAAAGCATTGGAGGCACTATACAAAAACAAATTGGTTTAGAATCTCACAACCTTCACCTTTCTGACATTCTAAGACCCAAACAAATTCAGCGCCTTCTTTGCTTTGATTTTTTCATGATGTAGGTTACAAAATTTACAATCATTTTTCCCCCTGATTAATGATGTCATTGATGATAGTAATTATGACATCAGTTGTGATGTCAGTAAACTTAATAATGTCAGTACCTTCATGGCAAAGTGATTAACCTTGCTACCTGTCAATCATTTGCCTTCTTACTGCTGTCAGTTTGAATCCAGTCAGTGACTTTGGACGTGAGGAAGCTATCCAGATAGCTTACATTAAGATCATTGATTGTACTCCAGTTGCTAGCTTGTGCCTGATGCATGTAGGTCCACCTGAGGTCTTTCTCCACCAATAAAGTTGGAAAGTTGCCATACAACCTTAACTGAAAACCCAACAAACAAAAGAGAAAAGAATAAATCAATACTTCTACATGCAGTATAGCTTTCATGAAATTGTTAAAAAAGATATGGATTTTATTTTAGAATACAATATTTTTTAATATTATGTAGGAATACTACATTGTATATGCAAGAAATTTATTATATTTTAAGTAATTTAAAGTTGCGAAAAAACTCACTACAATTTTCCAAAAAGCCAGAAATGAAAATGTTTTACATTATATATTACAGGTAGAGAGGTGTGGGTGAGTGTGAGGTGGTACTAAGATGGAGAAGTACGAGAACCAGGGGCTGGTTGGTGAGGGCAGCTATGGGATGGTGCTCAAATGTCGTCACAAAGATACTGGACAACTTGTGGCAATAAAAAAGTTCTTAGAGAGTGAAGATGACAAAATGGTGAAGAAAATTGCCCTTAGGGAGGTCAGGATGCTCAAGGTGAGAACTTCATAGTTCAAAATTATTAATTGAATTTTTAGTTTTTGTGGCTCACCTGAGCATGTAGTACATGAGTGTGAACTTTTAAGAATGGTCATTTGTTCATATTCTATGGTCCACATTTTGGAATTTACAACACTATAGAGATCACAGTTTTAATTTGATCGCTTAAGAAAAAAACACAATGAAACATTGAATAAATTTGAATACAGGACATTCAAATATTGAAATTAGTCACCGAATCTTTTCAAACTGTTTGTTTCAATAAAATCAAAGGCATTTTGATCAAGTCTGGATGACAATCAGTATATTTAATTTTCTCATAGATAGATAATTCATTTGTCTATTCTCTACTAAGCATGTTACAATCGTTACAGAGGTGACTGATGTTAGGGAGCTTTTACTGATAAATTGTCTGTATTAACACAGTAGATAAACAAAATCACTGTATCCTTCTATTTTATAAGTACCATGTCTTACGAGCCTAAACAATTCAATAACTACCATGTCTTACAGGCCTAAACAATTCAATAAGTACCATGTCTTACGGGCCTAAACAATTCAATAAGTACCATGTCTTACGGGCCTAAACAATTCAATAAGTACCATGTCTTACAGGCCTAAACAATTCAATAAGTACCATGTCTTACAGGCCTAAGCAATTCAATTACTAGTATTTACTACCATGTCTTACAGGCCTAAACAGGTCAATAACTACCATGTCTTACAGGCCTAAACAATTCAATAAGTACCATGTCTTACAAGCCTAAACAATTCAATAACTACCATGTCTTACGGGCCTAAACAATTCAATAAGTACCATGTCTTACAGGCCTAAACAATTCAATAAGTACCATGTCTTACAGGCCTAAGCAATTCAATTACTACCATGTCTTACGGGCCTAAACAGTTCAATAACTACCATGTCTTACGGGCCTAAACAATTCAATAAGTACCATGTCTTACGGGCCTAAACAATTCAATAAGTACCATGTCTTACAGGCCTAAACAATTCAGTAAGTATCATGTCTTACAGGCCTAAACAATTCAATTAGTACCATGTCTTACAGGCCTAAACAATTCAATAAGTACCATGTCTTACAGGCCTAAACAATTCAATAAGAAGTAACATGTCTTACAGGCCTAAACAATTCAATAAGTACAATGTCTTATAAGCCTAAACAATTCAATAAGTACCATGTCTTGCGGGCCTAAACAATTCAATAAGTACCATGTCTTACAAGCCTAAACAATTCAATAAGTACCATGTCTTACAGGCCTAAACAATTCAATAAGTACCATGTCTTACAGGCCTAAACAATTCAATAAGTATCATGTCTTACAGGCCTAAACAATTCAATAAGTACCATGTCTTACAGGCCTAAACAATTCAATACAAACCATGTCTTACAAGCCTAAACAATTCAATAAGTACCATGTCTTACGGGCCTAAACAATTCAATAAGTACCATGTCTTACGGGCCTAAACAATTCAATAAGTACCATGTCTTACAGGCCTAAACAATTCAATAAGTACCATGTCTTACAGGCCTAAACAATTCAATAAGTACCATGTCTTACAGGCCTAAGCAATTCAATTACTAGTATTTACTACCATGTCTTACGGGCCTAAACAGGTCAATAACTACCATGTCTTACGGGCCTAAACAATTCAATAAGTACCATGTCTTACGGGCCTAAACAATTCAATAAGTACCATGTCTTACAGGCCTAAACAATTCAATAAGTATCATGTCTTACAGGCCTAAACAATTCAATAAGTACCATGTCTTACAGGCCTAAACAATTCAATAAGTACCATGTCTTACAGGCCTAAACAATTCAAGAAGTACCATGTCTTACAGGCCTAAACAATTCAATAAGTACCATGTCTTATAAGCCTAAACAATTCAATAAGTACCATGTCTTGCGGCCCTAAACAATTCAATAAGTACCATGTCTTACAGGCCTAAACAATTCAATAAGTATCATGTCTTACAGGCCTAAACAATTCAATAAGTACCATGTCTTACGGGCCTAAACAATTCAATAAGTACCATGTCTTACAAGCCTAAACAATTCAATAAGTACCATGTCTTACGGGCCTAAACAATTCAATAAGTACCATGTCTCACGGGCCTAAACAGTTCAATAACTACCATGTCTTACAGGCCTAAACAATTCAATAAGTACCATGTCTTACAGGCCTAAACAATTCAATAAGTACCATGTCTTACAGGCCTAAACAATTCAATAAGTATCATGTCTTACAGGCCTAACTAATTCAGTAAGTATCATGTCTTACAATCCTAAATAGTTCAATAAGTACCATGTCTTACGGGCTGAAACAATTCAATAAGTACCATGTCTTACAGGCCTAAACAAATCAATAAGTACCATGTCTTACGGGCCTAAACAATTCAATAAGTACCATGTCTTACAAGCCTAAACAATTCAATAAGTACCATGTCTTACCGTTTACGGGCCTAAACAATTCAATAAGTACCATGTCTTACAGGCCTAAACAATTCAATAAGTACCATGTCTCAAATGTTTTGTTACTTCAATCACTGTATCTTACTAAAATACTTGGGAGCCTTTATTTTATAATTTGAAACCTTATTGCGATAACAGGAAATAGACATGTTTATATAATTATTGTGATTTAGAAAAACTGAATACATTTCAGCATTTATTTACAACATGGCTAAATGGGAACCATTCTTTTTAATAGATAATGATATTTAGATTTTTCTTAGACATTTTACCACAAGTAATAACATCAAACACAGAAAAACTAAATATTTCTTTATTCTGCCAGTATCTTAAAGCAGTTGTTTTTCAGTTATACATGTACCTTTTTTCCAACACACCTGGTGTAGAATGATCCATTCTGACAGTATATTTTAGACCTTTTGTGTCTTATTTTAGACCTTTTGACAATTTTAAGCCATAATAATTGGTTCATACTTTTAATTTAGAAAATTGTTTTCTGATTTGAAAGTTCATTCTTTATAGACTAACTTGTGAACGGCTTTCTTTAATCCTGTATTAAGCTGTAAACAATGTTGTTATATTTCTTTCAATAGACGTTTTATAATGGTAACAGGGAAAGTAGTGTATGATTGTAATCCCCCTTAAATGACTGGTAAAGTGCTACTTTTGTTTACTGTTGATGTAATAAGGTGCACTGTTCAGAGTTCACTTCCCTTATAAAGTGTTTTAACAGTAGAAATTACTTAATTTGATATCAACAGAACAAATTGAAATTTAGAAGAAAAAAAAAGATCAGTATTTGGCCTTTGAATGCTGCATTTTTAGCTCACCTGAGCATATGCTCAGGGTGAGCTATTAGGATCACTCTTCGTCCGTCGTCCGTCGTACGTCGTCCGTTGTCCGTTCACACTTTTCAAACGACATCTCCTCTGAAACCATAAGGCAGATCATAATGAAACTTCACAGGGATGTTCCCTGTGTGAAGCCTTAACAAAGTTGTTCAAAAAATTCCATTCCATGCAGAACTCTGGTTGCCATGGCAACCAAAAGAAAAAACTTTAAACATCTTCTTCTAAAAAACCGAAAGAGCTAGAGCTTAGATAGTTGGCATGAAACATCTTCTAGTGAGTGTCTACCAAGATTGTTCAAATAAAAGCCCTGGGGTCAAAATTGGCCCCGCCCCAGGGGGTCATTGATTTTCCCTATATGCATATAGTAAAAACTTAAAAAAATCTTCTTTTAAAGAACCCAAAGAGCTAGACCTAAGATATTAAGCATGAAACATCTTCTAATGAGTGTCTACCAAGATTGTTCAAATAAAAGCCCTGGGGTCAAAATTGGCCCCGCCCCAGGGTGTCATTGATTTTCCCTATATGCATATAGTAAAAACTTTAAAAAATCTTCTGTTAAAGAACCCAAAGACCTAGAGCTAAGATATTTGGCATGAAACATGTTCTATGGATGTCTACCAAGTTTGTTCAAATAAAAACCCTGGGGTCAAAATTGGCCCCGCCCAAGGGGGTCATTGATTTTCCCTATATGCATATAGTAAAAACTTTAAAAAATCTTCTTTTAAAGAACCCAAAAAGCTAGAGCTAAGATATTTAGCATGAAACATCTTCTAATGGATGTCTACCAAGTTTGTTCAAATAAAAACCCTGGGGTCAAAATTGGCCCCGCCCCAGGGGGTCTTTGATTTTCCCTATATGCATATAGTAAAAACTTTAAAAAATCTTCTTTTAAAGAACCCAAAAAGCTAGAGCTAAGATATTTAGCATGAAACAACTTCTAATGAGTGTCTACCAAGTTTGTTCAAATAAAAGCCCTGGGGTCAAAATTGGCCCAGCCCCAGGGGTTATTGATTTTGCCTATATATATAGAGTAAAAACTTTAAAATCCTCTGTTAAAGAACCCAAAGAGCTAGAGCTAAGATATTTAGCATGACACATCTTCTAATAGGTGTCTACCAAATTTGTTCAAATAAAAGCCCTGGGGTCAAAATTGGCCCCGCCCCAGGGGTCATTGATTTTCCCTATATACATAGAGTAAAAACTTCAAAATCTTGTATTAAAGAACCCAAAGAGCTAGAGCTAAGATATTTAGCATGAAACATGTTCTAATGGATGTTTACCAAGTTTGTTCAAATAAAAGCCCTTGGGTCAAAATTGGCCCCGCCCTAGGGGGTCATTGATTTTCCCTATATTGCATATAGTAATTAAAAACTTAGAAATCTTCTTTTAAAGAACCCAAAGAGCTAGAGCTAAGATATTTAGCATGAAACATGTTCTAATGGGTGTCTACCAAGTTTGTTCAAATAAAAGCCCTTGGGTTAAAATTGGCCCTGCCAGGGGAAGGGGGGGCAAAAGTCATTGTTTTTCATTATTTGTGTATAGTAAAAACTTAACATCATGAAACATCTTGTAATGGGTGTCTTCCAAGTTTGTTCAAATAAAAGCCCTTTGGTTTAAACTGGCCCCGCCCTGGGGGCCTATGTTCAGGTGAGTGACCCCAGGGCCATCATGGCCCTCTTGTTTTTTATAAAATAATTATTGTATTTGTTGTAAAAAGGAAAAAAAATGTTGTGTCCATTAAGTATTTTAGATTTAATAAAAATGAGTAACAAAGATGGTAAGTTTGAGAGATTTTTTATTGTAGTAACTCTCGCAGGGTTTGAAAATGAATTACATTATATTAGAATCACCATTTTTTCTTAGTTATTTTCTGCTTTTTATGACAGAACAAAATTTTAATGTCACGTTACCATTTCAAAAAGTATAATAATATGAGCTTATTTTACAATATTGGTACAATACTGAATTCTGTTTGACTCATACACAGCCCTTAAACCTATATTGGATAGGGTGCTATAGAGAAAATACATTAAATTAAAGGAAACGTGAAAAGTCAACTAGGTTTTTGTGAGATATTAAAATATAAATACAGCTGATAATATACTACACTTATTATGCTCCCAGAAATATTTCGGGGGAGCATATAGTTGCCAGTTTGTCCGTCCGTCAGTCCGTCCGTCCGTCCGTACATCCGTCCCATATTCGTATCTGGCCCATAACTTGGTTATTTGAAGTTGGATTTTACAACTATTTCATAGAAATGATCACCATATTGAGATGACGTGTCATGCACAACATTTGAGTTGCTACCTTGAAGGTCAAGGTCACAGCATGACCTTGCAGCAAAATCGTGTCCGGCCCATAACTTTGTTATTTGAAGTGGGATTTTACAACCATTTCATAGAAATGATCACCATATTGAGATGATGTGTCGCACACAAGTTGGTAGATAGATCTACTCAAGTAGAAGTTCAGTGCAAAGAACAGTAACTCTGCATTGCCTAAGTTTGGAATTATCACACTTTGAACTTTGTCTGGGACATAACTCTGAAACTACAAAAGATATACTTTTCTGTGTCCAAATCCAAGTTGGGGAGCATCACCCGGTACAGGCTCTTGTTAATTAATAATATACAGAAAATATTGAGTACAATATGCATTTGATATTGAATTTTTGGACACAATATAGATGGCATTAAATATGGATTTGTAGAAGTTTTTTGGACTGAAAGGCAAAATCATTTGATAAGATTTTATCCATATTGATATATTATAAGACCATATGTTACAAATGCTGGTAAGTCATTGGTTATTTTTATAAAGTTTGAAATAATGATTTTTATCATATTTACAGCAACTGCGACACGACAATCTTGTAAACTTGTTGGAAGTATTTCGGAGGAAGAAAAGATTGTATCTTGTGTTTGAGTTTGTTGATCACACGGTACTTGATGAGTTAGAAAAATGTCCTAATGGTCTCGATGAAACCACTTGCAGGAAAATACTCTGGCAGGTTCTTAAAGGCATAGAATTTTGTCATGCTAATCATGTAAGTATTTCTGTCAGAATGGAATTTTACTATGCTATAAAGTTCATGAAATTCATTTACTATGTTAAGAATGTTTATAGTTAGCACTGTCAGTGTGCAGTCCTTCAGTACAGAACTTATCTTATACAATGTACAATATACCCTGATTGATGAGTCTTGTTGTGCACATTCTTTAATCTTAAAGAAAATCTTCATTAATCTTTGCTGAATGACAATGCTGTCTTTGATATAGCCACACTGGATAGAAAAATAGAAATGTTTATTGCAAACTGACTTATGTTGTCAAATATGACTTATGACTTTATGATATTAGTGACGAATTAATATTTATTTCAAAATATTTTAAAATCAGAATTATCTGTTTACACGACCTCTCTGTTATGGTTGTCAATAGCAGATTTTTTTAAAAGCTTTCACGTATTGTATTACAGGTCTGTATGAAAAGTAAATAGCACTGACAATAACTTTCATTTGGGTTTCACCTTATTGAAAAATTGCTCATGTTATTCTGATAAAATAATTGCTAGTTTTAAATATGAAATTACCACTTTGTGGACCATTCTATTATGTACTGGTTAAGTATCAGGTAGTTTACAAAATCATTTTTCCATTTAAATCCATAAAAGTATTGGTAATATAGATTTCTCTGTATAGAAAATGGATGTATATAAATCATTTTAACAAAAAACATGTACTTTTGGTGAAGTACAAAATAAAAATGAAATGTAAAGCTTAAATTGATGACTTGTTAATGCAGAGACAACACAGACATTTAGTTCCTGTAGTAAAAGACATTCATCATTTCAAAATGAAATGTTTTATAACTTTTCTTATCTTTATATACAGTGCTATATTACAAAACATCTCAATTTGCAGACATCATTTTGTAGGTTTAATGTATGCAGGGTTTATTCAACTAAATATTGCATACATTTCTGGTTTTACAATTAATTATATCTGCTTGACATGGTTAAATAAAAAATAACGTATAAAAAAGATATATGAAATAACCAGTAAAATAGATATATGAAAGAACTATAATAAAAATATGATAAACCCATAAAATGGTTTTTGATTATGAGAAAACATTTCAGGAAGAAAATGATGAATTGGGCAGGTTCTTTGTTTAATCTCTGATGTTTTATTTATATTGATCCATCTTAAAGCGATTTAAGTATCTACTAATGGTTTTAATGGTCTACATGTTCATAATGAGCATGTTAGAGTAATATATAATGTATAATAATGGGACAGACATAGTGTTTGACGTTATTGGCTGCCTGACAATGGGAATATCTATGGTCTTTTGTGGATATCTGTAGTTATCTATGAGCTCGGGTCTGCTCTAATATAATAGGGCAATATGAGATGCCAAGATACAATCTAAAAGTCACAATTATTAATGATTAGCTTTGTTTAAGATATAGACTCCCAAAATAAAGTAAATAGTGGCATTGTTTAGCTGAATATTGTGTTCAGTGAAGAGGTATTTCATACAAAGTGATAACCTGGATACACAGGTTTTCATTCATACACATTTTATGCATTACATGCTTTGATTAATCTTACAGAGCAGTTCTGTTGATGTAATGCTGCTTTAAAACTGACATTTCATGATTGAATCCCAAATCATTAATGTGTAAAACAGTATTTTTGTTAATGAAGATCCAAATTCTGTTGTCAGGAGAGCTTGTTGAAATAATAAATTCTACTGAAATTAAAGAAGTTTCATATTCTGATCTGACAACCCATGATAAAAACAATAACAAAACTTGTAGAAATCTTGCTTGACCTTACATATGTAAGAATATATATATAATATAATAGAGTGGACTCTATGGCAAAAAAAAGTTTAAGTTTCTAAAATCAAAGTCACACCTTGTTGCTGTGGCTCTTAATACATGTATTACAAATAATAATTCATTGTTTAAAACTGTATCTGGTGTTTATTTTTCTAACTTATGTTTTTTTACAAGTGTATGGTAAAGCAAGTAGCATACATTGGGTCATTTGTGATGTTCCTCCATCGCGAATGTTGGAATGTTAAGACTTTTTAAGAGAATATGTAAGATGTGCAACTCAAGTAAATCTGTGTGTATTTTATATGATACCAATAACTAATGTTAATTTTCTGTTTTTAGATTATTCACAGAGACATTAAGCCAGAGAATATTTTAGTCAGTAAGAATGGCGTAGTGAAGTTGTGTGATTTTGGATTTGCACGCACCTTGGCACAGCCTGGTGAGATTTATACAGACTATGTTGCCACTCGCTGGTACAGAGCACCAGAATTACTGGTGGGAGATACTAAATATGGAAAGTAAGATGTTTCTAAAATAAGTATTATATTATAAGAAAGTACCACACCAACACTTTACATTTGAATATGTTTATGTCATGTGTCAACACTTGCTTGGGACCTTCATCAGTACAAAATGACATAATTATATAAAAACAAAGAGAAATGACATCAAATTGTAAAACATATATACATATATTAAGTTATTGTATTATTATGTTAGCCTACATCAGAGCAGCAACGCATAGTAAAATCACATGGGATAAAAAGTCTTCTTCTTTTCGCAAGCAATGTACAAGTTAAAATATATTGGCTCCGAAGAAAGGTACAGTAATCAGAATTAGCAGGTGCTTGTATACACATTTGATTGTAGAGGCTTGCAAGATATGATACAGTGTTTGAGTTTATCCATTGTAAAAATTGAAAACTTACATATGGTAGAAGTACATAGATAATTTGTTACAGAGCTGTAGACATATGGGCTGTGGGATGCCTTCTTGTGGAGATGTTGACAGGGGAACCACTGTTTCCCGGCGACTCAGATATTGATCAGCTCTATCATATTGTTAAAGTATTTGGTAAGATATGAAACTTTCTTATAAATTATCCACCAGAAATGTTGCATTATTTTACTGCTTTCTAATTGAATTGAAACCTTTTTATCCCCCGCCAAAAAATTTCGGCGGAGGATATAGAAATAGTCTCCGTCCGTCCAACCTTCCGTACGTCCGTCCGTCCTTCCGTCCGACATTTTTGTCCGGAGCATATCTCTAAAAGTATTTGAGTTATCAACTTGAAACTTCATAGGTGAATAGACCTCATTGAGGAGGAGTGCAGTGCACAAGAATGATAACTCTACCTTGCATGATTTTTGAGTTATTGCCCTTTGTTATTTTTCAAAATTGATTTTTGTCCAGAGCATAACTCCAAAAGCCTATGAGATATTAACATGAAACTTCATAGGTGCATAGATCTCACTCAGGAGGTGTGCAGTGCACAAGAATGATAACTCTACCTTTCATAATTTTTGAGTTATTGCCCTTTGTTATTTTTCATACCTAATTTTTCACCTGAGTGGAGCATAACTCGAAAAGTGTTTGAGATATCAACATGAAATGTCATAGGTGGATAGATCTTATTGAGGAGGATTGTTGTGCACAAGAATGATAACTCTTCCCTATACAATTTTTGAGTTATTGCCCTTTGTTTTTTTTCATGCTATTTTGTCCAGAGCTTATCTCAAAAAGTATTTGAGGTATCAACTTGAAACTTCATAGGTGGATTGATCTCATTGAGGAGGAGTGCAGTGCTTAAGAATGATAACTCTACCCTGCATTATTTTTGAGTTATGCCCTTTGAGTTATTGCCCTTTGTTATTTTTCAAAATTAATTTTTGTCCAGAGCATAACTCAAAAAGCCTTTGAGATATCAAAATGAAACTTCATAGGTGCATAGATCTCACTCAGGAGGTGTGCACTGCACAAGAATGATAACTCTACCTTTTATAATTTTTTAGTTATTGCCCTTTGTTCTTTTTCATACCTAATTTTTCACCTGAGTGGAGCATAACTCGAAAAGTGTTTGAGATATCAACATGAAAAGTCATAGGTGGATAGATCTTATTGAGGAGGATTGTTGTGCACAAGAATGATAACTCTTCCCTATACAATTTTTGAGTTATTGCCCTTTGTTTTTTTTCATGCTATTTTGTCCAGAGCTTATCTCAAAAAGTATTTGAGGTATCAACTTGAAACTTCATAGGTGGATGGATCTCATTGAGGAGGAGTGCAGTGCTTAAGAATGATAACTCTACCCTGCATTATTTTTTGAGTTATTGCCCTTTGTTATTTTTTTTCAAAATTAAATTTTTGTCCAGAGCATAACTAAAAAAAAAACCTTTGAGATATCAAAATGAAACTTCAATAGGTGCATATATCTCACTCAGGAGGTGTGCACTGCACAAGAATGATAACTCTACCTTTTATAATTTTTGAGTTATTGCCTTTGTTCTTTTTCATACTTAATTTTTCAATTCAATTTTTATCTCAAAAAGTATTTGAGGTATCAACTTGAAACTTCATAGGTGGATAGATTTTACTGAGGAGGGATGCAGCACACAAGAATGATAACCTACCCTGCATTATTTTTCAGTAATTGCCCTTTGTTATTTTCAGCCATCAGTATTCACATAGGTTTCAAATCTGTAATCACTATAGCCATCAGTTTTCATTACCAAAAGACCTCTTAAAATGGAATTATTCCGCTCTACTACATATACATTCTTCCAATGAGCAAACACATTCGGCGGGGGATGGCCATGTTGACATGGCTCTTGTTCAATTTAATTATATGATTTTATTTTAGCTCGACTATTCGAAGAATATGGAGAGCTATTGCAGTCGCATCTGCGTCTGCGTTGGTTACAGTTTTTTGTAAAGTCAAATATCTCAATTATTGCATGAGATATTCAATTGAAACTTACAATACTTATTTATAGTAACAATGTACATCAGATTGACAAGTTGGATAACTCTGCCTACAATATTTACAGAATTATGCCCCTTTTAAACTTAGAAATTTTGGTTAAAATTTTTTCTGAAGTCAAATATCTCAGTTATTGCTTGAGATATTCAATTGAAATTTACAATACTTTTTTATAGTAACAATGTACATCAGTTTGCAAAGTTGCATACTTCTGTCTGCAATATTTGCAGAATTATGCCCCTTTGAAACTTAGAAATTTTGGTTAAAGGTCTTAAGAACTATCAAAGATATTTACTTGAAACTTTACACATGTACTTAGGGTCATGACTGAAGGTCACATCTCAAGATCCATTACTCTGCCATGTATTTTGGCTGAATTATGCTCCCTTTTGTACTAAAAAAATCTCCTTTTCTTGGTTAAGTTTTACATGCAAGTTTTGCATATCTCTGAAACTATTAAAGATACAAACTTGAAACTTCATATGTATATGAATATAGTGGCAACAATTTTCGTAACACAGGTGATAATAATTGAAGTCACAGATGATAAGATAGCGACTTACAGGATAATCTCGGGTTGAACATAAAAAGATTTATTTGTGCATTAAGGATTTTAAAAAAGTGCATGCTGTGTACTGAACATATCTCTTGATTTGTCAATAAGTTATTTAGTTGATTGCCTCAGACTGTTCAAAGTTTCGATTGATCTGATAAAATCAAGAAATAACCCTTGAAATGGGTAAAAAAACGACTCAACTCTCGTATCAGTATAAAAACTCCGGTATCAAAAGAATGTATAAACATTAAAAATCTTTATATAGACTTTTCTAACTGTGTGGGAAATTAAACATTCATTGGTTTCTAAGTATAAAGTAGAGTATAGATTATTTATTATTGAACTGTTGTTTTTTTCTTCTAGTTAATTATTTCTTTTAATTTTGGTTTAATTATGCGTTGAGAATCAATGAATTAATTATCTTTATTCAGGTAATTTAACGGCACGCCACAAAGAAGTGTTCATGAGAAATCCATTATTTGTCGGTATGCGTCTGCCTGAAGTAAGGGAGGTCACTCCACTAGAAAAGAAATTTTCCAGAATGTCCAATTTTTCATTAGCTCTTATAAAGGTATACTGTTATATCTGGTGTGAGTTATTCAATGTTTTATAACAATATTTTGAAATAAGTTAACATAATGTTAACTAGATTTTATGAACTTTATTGTTTAAAGCCCTATCCTTTATAATTGGTATGTGATAAAAAAAATACAACCGTTAAGGCGTTTGTATGTGGTAAAGAAAACCAATAGTTTTATGTGTTACAAATACCAACTTTTTAGTGTTACACTGGCAGACATTGTAAGTATGGATCAAAGAAAACTTATTTCAAGATAATCAAGATAATTTGGGTGACAATTCAGTTTGACAGTTTGAGGTCCATAAATAACATGAATTTACGAAAATTTCTTGAATTAATTTGATTGACTGTTGTTGGTAATGGTTTATGGCTTTTGATTTATTGGTAAATCTTGATTGTCACAGATCTTTTACTTATTTTCAGGACTGTTTGAAATTAGACCCTGATGATCGGCCAACATGTTCACAACTTCTGAAACATGAATTTTTCACGAGGGACGGTTTTGCTCAAAAGTTTTCACATGATTTGAAAGCTAAGTTAACAAAGGAACAAGAGAAAAATGCATTGTTAAACTCTATAGTTCATGATGATGATAAGGAAGGGGCTGATAGTAATAAAACTACAACAAAGAAAAAGAAAAAACTTCCTCTAATGAAAAAGGATTCTAAAGCCGATACTGACCACAATAAAAGTCTTAGTAAAGATGGCAATAAAGCTAGTACTAAAGATGTGGTAAGGATAAGATTATATTTTAATTACTGTAAAACAAGTCTCTTAAGGCCGGTCTTAAAAGTTAAGAAGTGGACTTCTATTTCTATACACAAGTGGTCAAGATTGTTATATCTGAGTCAATCTGACTAAAGTTCAGATCTACCTATTTCTGTTATGTAGATCTGATTACGACCGTATATGTTTCGCCTCCTTTATAATTCAGATTTCCCAAGAAAAAGCTATTTTAAGCCATGCAATCAAATCTGTTTTTACATAGGCATTAGAAGAAGTAACAAAATACCGTTATCCTTGGAAGTTAAACAAATTGTTGATTTTTGTTAGAAAAAAGAATGTTTGAAGTAATATTTAACAAATTAAATTGAAATAATAGAGTCAATTTTTTAATTGGCAAGATTGTTTTGCCAGTTTACCTGTCGGCTTTATGGACAACGGCAAGTTTGCTCTCGAAATCGTGACAATTTCCTACTCAGTTTTCCCAGGGTTAAAATTAGAAACCACATCACTTTCAAAATTATTAAAACTCGCCGATGATTGGCTATGTGAAAGATTACCAAAAATAACTACGTAATTGGTCACTGTTAGATCTAAAAGGGGAGCGTTATTTAGAGCTAATTTTAATCAGATTGTATCTGAGTTATGTTACTCTAACCCACTTGCACTTTATAACTATAACTAAAATTTTTATGTGAGAAAGCTATATGCCTAGCTTACATAATGTCTATGGCTCTACTTTGATATGGATTCCAGCCTGTAATAATGTGTCATGATGTACTTGGTGGTCTTCCTCCACCAGCAGAAGCCATAAACACCTTATGTCCAGTGGTTACAGAGATTTTCATGGTGAAATGTTTTGTCCTTTGAATAAGAAAACATATCTCTGTAGCTTATCATACCCTTACATTTATATGACAGACAGACAGATACTGGTGGTATGATAGCTTAGGCAATAGAAAATAAATAACTAGATTCTCATCCAAATTTTGGAAAAAAATGGGGCGGGTGGGTGGATTTTATTTTCCATTTTTTATTTTCCATTCTCGGTCTGGAAATTACATGCGAGGAGGTCAATATTTGGGAATTAGTTCTATCATAAGCTATTTAACTGCTAATATTATGTGTATGTAAAATATATAGATTCAGATTGAGAATAGAAGCAACATGATAATATATCTTAATTGTTATGATCTGTTTTATTGAACCTTTCATATTCTGACATCAAACAAATTGATGTTTGGACAAAATAATAACCAAATACATACATGTATTGTTACAAAATAAGACTTTTTTCTGGAGTGAAGTCTGTTAAAAATTAATTAATCAACAAATGAAGCTACACAAAAAGAAAGTTCTATTTATTTATCACATAGCAAAAATGATAACATATAACCTATTGAAAATTTGGCAAAGAAAGTACAGAGATTTACCTATTAAAAATTGGCATCGCGAAAATATGTGACAAATGAAAAAAATGTCTGTTTCCTGCACAACCATTCACAATTCTAGTTGTTGTTGATTTTGATTTTATCAGATTAAATATTTTATGATTATTCATTCTCTATTTTAAAAAGGTATTGTAAAAAATAAATCCAAATTTGAAATTTACGGCAAAATTTACCGATGTTGTTTATGAAGAAATTAGCTCACAGCTGTTTATCTGACTTTTCCAAAATTGGTCTTCTGTGGGTCAATACCTTTACAGTTCTTTAACAAATTTTGATTTCACTGTCAAAACTGGTTATCTTTAGCTCTTTAAAATTTTATTAGGACCCAAGGATTGGCAGTAAGATTATCTCGGATAGCATGATCCAAATTTTTTTCAGCCAGGACAGAGACCGACAGACTTTCGGCCATCATGCACTTATCCTCGGCATTTGTACACGTAAATCAAATGTTAAGTTCTAGACATAAACTATTTTTTCTTTTTTTCTTTCTTCTGTTTTTCCTTTCTTCTTTTTTTTTTTTTTTTTTTGAAAACAAAAATCATTCGGGCGGAGCAATTTTTGTCGGGCGTGCGGGGATGAGAATCTGGGAATTTATTTTATATTGCCTTATAAGAATTAATATAAAAATAATCAGTGGTTGAAAGTTTTAAACTTATGTTTGACTGTATATTAGGTAGGCGCTATATCAAGCAATCAAAAGTTAGAATTTCTCATAATATAGCTAAAGTCATCAAATTTTAGTAAAAATTTGATTATAATCATAAATGGTGAAATGAAAATACATTTCTTACCAATGATTTGATCAATAACCATTCTTCTTTACAGACAGATATGGAGTGTGGAATCAAAGATTCTAAGATTTCAAATCATTAAATTTGTTTAAGAAAAAAATTAATTGATCTATCATCATTTCAATTCTAATCTATTTTATCTCCCTTGTGGATGTACTTATCAAAATATTTTATTTATCATTTCTATTTCTAGGAGTCAAAAAATAGTTCAGAGGACAAATCAAAACGAAAAGTGGCAGATCCCCCAGATAAAGGTGGTAGTAAGAAAACTCCACCCACCACTACTGTCACTCCAAATAAGGACAATCATTCTGATGCTAAAAATAAAACTAACACTAGTAATACACCAGTAGATAGTTCACAAGACAAAGGTCATAGAACAGATAAGATAGACAAAAGTGATAAACATGAAAAAGTAGATGTTAAAGTTTTTAAACCACATAAAGGTGATATAAAACACGAAAAGGCAGAAATTAAAACAAAAGAAAGAAACTCTGGAGAAAAGAATGACCACAAAGTGGAAAAGGACAAAGTTAAACCTGAAAAATCAGAGAAAAGTGATAGAGAAAAAGATTCAGAGTCTAGATCTGACAGTAGATTAGAAAACAGTATTGATAGAGTAGATAGAGCTAAGGGTACCGAGTCTAAGACAGAATACAGTAAAGAAAAGGGTGATATTAAACAGGAGAAAGAGAAGCGTGATAAATTGGAGAAGTTAGAGGCAGAGAAGGATGAGAATCATGAGCAGGAGAACACTGTATCATATAAAGATTCATCGTATATTCCACCTATACATCAGTCAGGATATAACCTACAGAATTCCAATACCACAACGCCATCTATACCATCTCTAAGCAGGTATATTATCTAAATAACATCACTCTTTACGTTTTACAATCTTATTTTGTTATTCAGTGTCAGTATGTTATGAGTTCTGCTTGTTTTGTTTTATTCTTCTTGAAGTATACAGTGCCATATTTATATAAAGATTAATTTGATACCTGTCCTCATCACTTTAATACAGGTTATTTTCTGTTTCACTAAAAATTAATGATTTATGTGATTAATGGAACAATTGAATTGAAATGTCATTATAGATAGATTGATATTAAAACACAATTCATGTGCTGAAAAGGAGTTAACCTTCTAGAGATCACATACACTGTATTTGACTTAAATGGGGGCTAAATTATTTTTCTAGTACCAAAATAATTGTAGATTTGGTTAATGAATTTATCATAAGTACAACAATATGCATGATCTCCTGCAATATTATAGGACATATTCCAAAAAAGACTTCAAACTATGAATACAGTTTAAAAGATCAACTGTTAAAATTTTACTATGAAACTTGTTTTCTAGCTTTTATCAGCATGAAAACTTGCATTGAATGTTGTCAGACTCAGAAAAAAGGTTACATTTCAACAGTCAGTATGATTGAAATAAGGTGAGAGATGGTGCACTTTGTGATCATAGCCTTGTAATATTTGGCACTGATCAAGTAAAGAGGGAATACACTAAAACTTATACATAATTTTTTTCTTGTTATGTTGTTGTTGTGATGTGTTTGTTGTTGTTGTTGTCGTTACTTTTATGTTTTGAAGTGTTTGGTGTGTAGAAACCTTGTCTTGCTTTGTTTTGTTATGTTTTATTAAGATATGTGATTGATTGAACTTATTTTTAGACACACATTATGTGCAGGAGTGTATTATGATGTAGTTTGTACATTAAAAAGGAATATTTTCTTTGAAAAAGACTGGAATTCTTACTTTTGGAATAATGCATACTGTTGTTGTAAAGAGTAATTGATCTACAGTGGTCAGTCTGCAACCAGTATTAATTGATTCCACTTTATTGAATCATGGAGTTCTTCTTTTAATAAATATTTGACATTAAATTAATTATGAATTTTGTTGTTTAATTTTGTTTCATTTGTAAATTTTCAAAGAAAATGTTCCTTACCTTATCTTGATATCATGAATATGTTTAAATGTAATATATTTATGTATTATAATGTAACAGGAGATTTCAACTGCCAAATATCTTCAAAAGCTGTAAGATGTAGTTTTTACATTAATTATTCATTTATTTCTCCTTTTTTTATTCTCAGAATATCAATCATTTTAAACAACGCCAGGTGAATACTATAGATTTTTTTTTATTTATTTTTTATATTCTTTTTCAAAGATATATTGTTGCTCTTATACTAATAACACAACACACCTGATCAAGCATATAGGTGGGTGGTGAATGGTGATTAGTAATGCAATGAAACTTTTTAGTCCACAGGTTAAGAGTTTGATTCTTTGCCCAAGCACTATATATTTCAGAAATCTTCTTATTAAAGGTCATTAATTCTGTAAATAAACCTGGTCATAATTGCTAGAGGTCAGTTAGCTTAGTATACTTATTATATAAATGTATGATATACTGTACATGTATATAGTATTACTTTACTACTACGACCAATAATGATTTGTCTATGTTTGCACTGAAGACCCAGGCCACTCAGCACATCCATACAGTCTGACTGTTGTCTGTCCAATTTTATCATTTTTATATTGAAATCCCCAAACAGTACACTGAACCATTCCAAATTTATAGGAGGACAAGTCCATTACTTAAACCCAGCAAGATAAGGGTTAAAAACAAGAGCAAACTTGAAGCAAATTTCAACAGACATGTCTGATATGGATCAATTTTGTCAACTGTTACCATTTTTATATACCTGTACATGCTAAATCTTATACCCACCACCAAGCCACCCATCTACATTTAAGTGTTTTAAGTGCCTTTCAAAATTTGTCATATACATCAGAGCAATAATGTATTACATGTAATATTTATTGTGGGGGAAATGGGTCATTTATTTATTATTTAACATTTCATCCCATAATCTCAGCAAAATACCATTTCTCATTACATTATAAAGTAGTAGTTGTCCTATCTTGTAATTATAGAATTAGCATCTTACTAAATCATTAGTTGTTAATGTGAGAAGTGAATCTTTGTCGCATCATATAATATAGTTAATGTATATTATATATATGAATAATAATCTTAACTAGGAAATATAGGATTTAATTTGTGTTGTCAATTTCAAAAAAAATATAATTATCTTCTTCAGTGGTACAAGCTTTTTGTAGGGCAAATTTAATATAATTCTATACAAAATAACTCTTTTTATAATATTATATTAATTACAAAGCTAGAAACAACTGAAAATAGAAAAAATAATGTGATGAGCAATGTTAATGTGGTGTTATGATGTCTTATGTATAAAAGACCTGTCAAGAGTGAAAGATATACTGGTTGGTCACTTTAAGTTCTAGAAGGTTAAAGAATAACAGAAAGAAATGTTAAATTGTTTTATTATATTGAAAACAAGCAACATCATGTGATAAAGATATTGTTTGCAAAATACAGTCTTAAAATGTAACAACCTGTACGATACAAACTTCTTAAATGGTAACATTATATAATACTGGTAAAATACCTGTTTTCTTGAAAAATCTGCACCAAATTTCTTGTCACTCTTTTATCATGTAACATAGTTTGTTAGTTTTGCAAACAATAGACTAAATAAAGTAAAAGACTAAATAAGTAGTCAAAAGAAAAATAACTTTGATGAAATCAGTTGATATAAAGTATATTATTGTGAATATATATCTAAAAAAAATTTAAAAAAATAGTTATCAATAATTTTGTCACAACACAAAAAGGTTGACTTAACTAGTTAAGTACAAAGTCATAGTCATGTTCATTACTCTATTTGAAAAATATTTTTATTGTTTTTACATTCATTATTAATCATTAAAATCATTTAAGAACAAACATCTTGCAAACATGATCAATGAGCTATTAAACATGATATATTTAAAGTGAATGCATGCTGATTAATTTTCCAGTCCTAATATGGTAGCGAACCATTCCCCCCATATATTTGCTCCTCCTGTAAACAACATGGCTGCCATGCAGAGCCCGCGGGCAAACATTAGTTATACTCCCGGGGCAATGCCTATGAGGTAAGATCATGTACAAAATATAACCACACTGTATCGTCTCTTGTCCTTCAGACTGCAATTCTATATACAACAATTTTATACATGCAGAAAAAAAACAAGGGCTCTTAATTAAGGGTTTTAATTCCATTTTCTGAGGTACAGATGCTGGAAATATTTGTTTCCCAACATATGTTTATAAAAACCAGTCATGCTTTGAGAATTGGAATCAAGAAGTGATTAAATTCACCAAATTTTAAATTTAAAGTTAGTTCATGGGGTGTTGCCCTTAAGTGACACATAGGCAGTGTTTCGTTCAATCCCTTAGTCAACTTTAATTATAGAAAACATGTTTTGTTTGTTTAAAAAGTCAGCATTACAAAATCATTCTATTTCTTTCTAATGATCCAGTAAGATAAGTTTCTGTTTATTCAGATGTTATTTGTGAGGCAAAAGTGAAAACCTATGCCATTTATATGGTAGGATAAAGGGCAAAATGGGGAATATGTAGAATTGTGGTCCGCTATATTTATCGTCCTGTATTTTATTTTCTTCAACTAAAACTCCAAAGCTTATCTAAAAATTTATCAATATGTAATCATGCTTCTAAACATCCTTTGTTCTCCAAGAAATATAATATTTTTAGATAATATTGTCACATTGTATTTTGTATTAGCACAATGTTAAATTATATTTTATGTGTTTTTATAATACATGTATCTTGTGCATATAACCCTTTTTTGCTAACTTTTTCTTATATATACAAAATAAAACCAATTGTAAATCAGAACAAATTATTCACAGGAATGATGACAATGATGATGAAATACAGCAATGTTGTAATCTAGTCTGTACAAACTATAACAATTGTAATTCCAGTCTTTATAACATTGATGTGAAATTACAACATTTTTGTAATTCCAGTCTGAATAACATTGATGGGCAAATTACAGCATTCTTTTACATGTGGTTAATTCCAGTAAAGACAAACCATATTCCAGTCTTAATGAAGTTGATGGGCAAATTATGACATTGTAACTAAAGTTTCCATGATGTGAATGAACAAATTACCACATTTTTGTAATTCATAAAAGATTTCAATGGAAACATAGCAACATTGTTATCAATGATGTTAATAGGCAAATTATGACATTGTAATCCCAATCTCAATGACATTTATGGACAAATTATGGCATTGTAATCTCAATCTCAATGACAATTATGGACAAATAATGACATTGTAATCCCAATCTCAATGACATTTATGGACAAATTATGACATTGTTATCCCAATCTCAATGACATTTATGGACAAATTATGGCATTGTAATCCCAATCTCAATGACATTTATGGACAAATTATGACATTGTAATCCCAATCTCAATGACATTTATGGACAAATTATGACATTGTTATCCCAATCTCAATGACATTTATGGACAAATTATGACATTGTTATCCCAATCTCAATGACATTTATGGACAAATTATGACATTGTTATCCCAATCTCAATGACATTTATGGACAAATTATGACATTGCTAAAATTCAAGTTTCAATGACATTTATGGACAAATTATGACATTGTTTAAATTTCAGTCTCATTGACATTTTGGATAAACTCAAGTTTTTAAAGATGTTAAGTAAAAGAAAGAGCATCGAAACACGAGGCTATCTGATTTATACAAGCCAAGTATAAATCAGATTGCCAAGTGTTTTGATGTTCTTTCTCTTTTGTATCATAGTCAAACATAAAAACACGTTTCCTGATACCACAATATGAAACCCCACAAAAAAGTAATCAATGAACGAGCATCTGAATATGATATTTCCATTGCAATCCGTTTCTCTGTCGTCACAAAATGTAAACCCCGGACAAAATGAACCAATCAATGGGCATGCTCTGGAGTGCTGGTAACTAATTCCTGCACTCCAGTTAACGCATTGTGCATGTATATGTATATGATTTAACTCTGTCACATTTTCAACAGAAATGTCCGCGAACTATGATACAATCGACAAGTTAAGGCACTGTTATAACTCAAGTCTCAGACAAGTGAATGTACTTGTACAATGATCATAACAAACTAGTAACAACCCCTGTTTTGAATGATCTGACAAATTAACAATATGACTGTTGTAATTTACCATTTGACATAGGACTTCCCATTTGCTCATGTAGAAAAAGTGAAAACTTGTGTATATAATTGTATTAAATTACTATTATTTGTTTGTTGTTTCAGCTAGCATTTAGATATCCTATTTATTTTTTCATGAAAGTAAGAAAGATTTTAGTTATTGAAGATGAACTGATAGTAAATGTTTGTTGTTTGACGAAGTGGTTGATGATTGGATGCCATTTTTCACCAGATCCTTTTTATTGCACTTAGAAATATATGAATATATAACAACAGAAATCATTCAGAAGGTTTGGTACTGATATATTGTATCAGGATAGAGATAGCCAACATTTAACTGTCAGCCTATATCTTATATCATCTTTCATGATTGAATCACATTAAGGCTTCCTAATGCTTTATTAAAAAATAATTCAGATTGATTTTTTATGCCCCCACAAGGTGGGAGCATATAGCGTTGCACTTGTCCGTCCGTCCGTACGTCTGTCTGTCCGTACGTCCCGAAATCTTGTGAACGCAACTCCTCTTAAACCGGATGGCAGATTTTGCTTAAACTTACAGGGAAGAACAACCTTAATGTGTAGATGGTAGTAAAGGAAGGAATTTTTGCTGCGATCAAATTTAACAGAATTATAGCCCTTTGTTAATTTTTTCACTCTATACCATATAGAAATTTTGTGAACGCAACTCCTCTTAAACCGGATGGCAGATTTTGCTTAAACTTACAGGGAAGAACAACCTTAATGTGTAGATGGTAGTAAAGGAAGGAATTTTTGCTGCGATCAAATTTAACAGAATTATGGCCCTTTGTTAATTTTTTCACTATATACCATAAAGAAATTTTGTGAACGCAACTCCTCTTAAACCGGATGGCAGATTTTGCTTAAACTTCCAGGGATGAACAACCTTAATGTGTAGATGGTAGTAAAGGAAGGAATTTTTGCTGTGACCAAATTTTACAGAATTATGGCCCTTTGTTGATTTTTAGTTTTCAACTTGTGGCACATGTAGTCTAAAAAATATTTGACCTAGAATCATAAGATTGACAGAACAGTGGCGTGTGGGGGCATCAGTGTCCTATGGACACATTTCTAGTTTCTCTTTATTTTAAGATCATTAGAATTTGACAGCCAGTCACTAGAAGCAGATTATTATACTTGATTTTGTTTTGATGTACTGAATAAGTATTACATGCTTTAGCAGTATAATTTATTTGAGCTTTATGGTATACTTGTTGGCGTATGTACATGTATAATCCTAAAACACAGAGACACTGTGGTATCATCAAAAATGTGGTAATGTAACACCTGTCTGTGGCATTAAATGGTGGAGATCTACTTTGTAAAGTATAAATGATGTCAGATATTTTTATTTATGCTACATTTTAGCAAAATTTAAGTTGATTTTCTGAAGAAAATAAGGATTATTATTTAGAATAATGATTAGTTTGTGCTTCATGGCTTTTTCTAGCCATTTACTGCTACAAGTTTGTGTTACATGTACTTTATTATTGGAGATACAAAGGTATGTATGATATAAAATGATACAATCAGATTGGTGAAGAATGTCTCAATTTTTATTATCGTCTTTTTTCTGAAATATGTTTCCATGTATAACTCAGGTGAGGGATGTAAGGTTATAATAGTCGTTTTATTCTCACTTTAATGTAGCCATATTTGTATCATTTTCAAACAGTTCTAGAAAACATCAAAGTAGCTTCGACATTGGAAAGATATCACCGTTCAAGAATAATCAGTAAGCTAGCAGTTGAAATGTTTCACATGCTGTGATCACTGACAATCCTCATTTTTTATATATATATATATAGAACACTAATTATGACATACAGTGTAGTGGGTGTCTTCTACCTAACACAGTTCAGACTTTAACAGAAATCAGAACAACCAAAGAAATCTCTGCAGAATTCATGCAAAAACTTGTTTCCTGACTTGTCATATTTCAATAATTTCCAAGCAAAGATAAGTCTTGCCTTAAGAATAATGATGTTGAACTTGTTACAAAAACCGAAAAATTTCAGAAAACCAAACTTTTTGCAAGTGATGTTCAGTTTTCTGAAGTTTCACTATAGTTTAAGTTATAGTACTTACAGGAAAGATTAGTCTTTGCTTGGTTTAACTATTGATAACAATGAAATCTTGCAAAAGAAAAAGCATATTCATTCAGTAGTAAAGGTCACGTGCATATTGATTTATATTGATTTAGGAAAATGTTGATTTAAGATATGGTTTGCATTTCATACAGATAAAACTGGTGAGACAGAAGAAACTTTGTAATGTACTTATTATATAATGACAAGGGTAATAATATTATACAACAAATTCTGTTTCACTACAGAAAGTGTGACCTTTGCTTGAATATGACCTTTTTTCAATTTATAAAGGTTTTCCTTGAAATAAGACTTTATAGTTATGTTTATAATACACTGTACATCAAAATTCATAAGTTCATAAAATTTAAAAATAAAAATGATATCAGACAAGGAAGTCAGGAATCACTTGTATGGTCTGCAGTTTCTAAAATGTTAATTTTTACTGGTGATTGGGATGTTATCCAGAGAGGTTATTTCTTAAATTCTTTGTTTTCTGTACCTTAATTATTCATATTTTGTTTATTGTTAACTACTTTATTATATAGATATAGGGGAAAACACTCACATTGATAATTTGTTCAATGATAATGCTGGATCAGTGTTAATGAATTACTTATTATAATTAAAGCCAGAAAGATTCAGCTAGACCTCAAGCTTGGTAAGTTATTGAGTAAACAGAAAGCACAGTCTGGTGTGAGAGTGAATGTTACCATGGTAACCAGTCTGAGACACTACAATATGACCTTGACCTGATGTGATTTTGCACAAAGATTATTCAGCCTAGTCCTTACTGTCTTGATGCAACCTCTGAATTCTAACAAGACTTGTAATCCTTTTTCCTTTTATGAATGAATTTGAAAGGGTGTACAAAAAAACAATCATTTTGAAATGAATGTCAAATAAAACAAAAACATCTAACAGAAACTTAAACTATATGAACATTTATAGTCAAACTTATGTTGAAACTATTGGAAATGAATTATTTATAAGTTTGACCTTTGTTGACAGGTGGTTTCTTAAAACAAATTATTTTGCATTGAAACTATACATTAAAAAAAGCCTTTTGTTTGGGTGATATTAACTTCTGGTTTGAATGTATATGTATTTAAAAACTTATCAATAAAAATGTTCTTTTTTAACATTTTAGCATTCAAAATAATTCAGTCATAAAAGGTAGATATTATTTGAAAAAGGAAAAAAGCTATCATTTTAAAATATATATTTTGCTTTTTTTTTATCTGTTTTAGCTCTCTTTTCAGAATTTACTATTTACACTAAGCATGCTTTAAGGTCTGCTGATATATCTCTTATGTTAGGAAATATATACAGTATATAAAAGAAATATTTCTATAACTTTTCCAGTGTTTTCGAGTGGCAGGTATATTAAAGCTTGTAATTGCTTAATCATTTTTTGAATATATTTATATACTTTGCATAGTTATAAATGTAGTTTGTGGTTTAAGGGTTGATACTAGTATAAATACGGGTAGATAATTGAAATGTTATCAGTGAGTTTTATTTAAGCACACTAATGTTTCTCTGTATGCTAGCGATTATGATAATTGTATTGCCTGTAGGTGTCACCAGTATAGTGCTGGGTCAGTGCCTGTAGGTGTCACCAGTATAGTGCTGGGTCAGTGCCTGTAGGTGTCACCAGTATAGTGCTGGGTCAGATGATAATTGTATTGCCTGTAGGTGTCACCAGTATAGTGCTGGGTCAGTCTGAACATCAGTACAGCTTCACACACTGTTCTGTCCAAGCCTATTATATAGTTGGGTGAAAGAGTTCAAGTTTAAAAGAGCTGCTATGACTTTTTTTTATAGATCTATAAATACATGTATATACAAACAGTCTATAGGTAATCTGTGATTAGAATAGGTTATTTTATTTTGGCCTGTTATGAGTGACAGAATAATTGCAACATCTGTTTATCTGTCTAGCATAGCTGTTAAGGTTTATAACAAAAATATTTCTTTGTTCAGCTTGTTCACTGTAAAAAAATTTACATGTACTGTAAGATTGATAAAAGTTCATACCATTGGAATAAACTGTTATCATTTCAGACTGGATCACAATTCAGTAATCCCGGTTAAGATACATTTACTATCTTTGCTCAAGCTATAAATTGAGGGATTCCTTAATATTTTGGCCTATGTATGTCGAAATATTTTGTTTTGTAATATTGCTTATACAATGAGAGTATTTCTTGTACAATATGACATACATATAGATAATCTTCATAATGAAACCAGAAATGGACTAGGTATTAAAAGGTCAAGGTCATTTGATACGATATGTTTGTGTATTTTATAACTTAATGGCAAGAGTGTAAGAATGATGATGAGTGGTAACACTCATGTCCCTACCACACGGTCAAGGTCACACTTATAGTTTGAAGGTATTCTCACAAGAAAAGGGTGAAGGTACACATTCGTGTCCTAACTCTAACTTAGTGATGCATTGAAGGATTTCAAAATAACTTGGCGAAAATGTCTACCACATCCAGACGATATGTCCCGTTTAAGACCCATGTCATTACCTGAAAGGTCAAGGTCACATTTAGAGGTTAAAGATACACCACTTACACAACATTTATGTCTGGACTGTAACTTCTGTCATGCATTGAAGGATTTTAAATTAATTGTCATAAATGTCTACCACATCAAGATGACTTGTCGCATCCAAGACCCATGTCCCTACCTCCAAGGTCAAGGTGGTAAGTTTGCTTTGAATAGTAAATCATTGAACAAGAATAATATAAGCAGTTAGTTACTTTTATTCTCTTTTCTTTTCATAGAACCTTTCTGCAATACTTACAAAACTTTTTGGGGGGCATTTGTCTTTTTTATGTAACAGCTCTTGTTCAAACTTTAAATTATGTTTGAAAGGATAGTGCGGAGAGTAATGGTTTATATATTAGTTTTTCTTGAAGTGCTTAAAAATGTAAGAAAAAGTAGAATATGTAGAAGAAAAGACATGGTGGTGGTAATTTGCTGAATTAGGTCCCTCCTTTTCCAGCAAGAGCTTTTTATATACCTGTTTTGGTAGCTCTGTTTTTTTACAGATTTTTTGTTAATAGTGAACTGTTGTACTTTTACTAGTAAAGTTTTTCAATAGAAGGAATCTGGACCTGGAAACATAGGTAATTTCTATACTGGCTGAGGTCAAGATCAATCAGTTATTAATTATTCGAGACAAAAAATGTGATAAACATAGAAAAAAACAATAAGTGAAGGAAACATTCACTCACTATTATAGAATGGATTTTAGTTTTAATTTAACTCTTAACCTATGGAATTTATGATGCTTTTGACCATTCAAAATTTAAGGGCTTTCAATATCAAAATATACAAATTAATCTCCCAGTATAGAGCTTAGTCAGACTGCACAGATATGATGACTGGTCTGGCTCAATATTGGTACCAGGTTATAAGTGTACAAAGTCATGGGTTATTTTTAATTGATCACTCATTTTACCTTGTTGTGTCATTACTTAAATCATATTGAAAATTTGACTTCAGATTGTAAAACCTTTCAAAACCTGAGAACAAGTTCTAAACTTTGAAAAATAGTATAATGCAAAAAAATAAATAAATGTCTCCAGACAAGAAAAATGTTGTTGTCTTTGCATTTCACCTTTACATTTTATAAACAAGTCTTTAGTTTTAGCAAGGTCAGTCGTAACATAAGGAAGGTAACCTTCATTAAACTGTGACCTAGAATTATGATCTTCATAATGATTATGTTTGTAACCAGGTTTTCAACGAAACCTTGTTATTGTAATGCCGAAGTCAACTTTTGGTTTCCGCCCCATAACTTCAACGCCAAATTTTGTGAATGGATAGCTTGTATCAAGAGGCAGTTTGGGATTGCTAGCCAGGGGTCTGTGATTAAGGTCAAGGTCGCTGTTACTAAAAGTAGAAATTTAGTTTTGCTCCATAACATTTGTTTGCTTTGGCCTGTCAACACCAAACTGGGTGTGTGGGTAGCTTATATCAAGAGGCAGCTTGAGATTGCTACCCAGGTGTCAGTGGTCAAGGTCATTGTTACTAAAAATAGAAATTCAGTTTCCACTCAATAACTTAAGTTTGCTTTAGTCTATTGATGCAAAATTTAGTATGTTGGTAGCTTATATCAAGAGGCAGCTTAGGATTGCTAGCCAGGTGTCTGTGATTAAGGTCAAGCTCACTGTTACTAAAAATAGAAATTCAGTTTCTGCTCCACAACTTGAGTTTGCTTTGGCCTGTCCACACCAAACTGGGTGTGTGGGTAGCTTATATCAAGAGGCAGCTTGGGATTGCTACCCAGATGTCAGTGGTCAAGGTCATTGTTACTAAAAATAGAAATTCAATTTCCGCTAAATAACTTGAGTTTGCTAAGGCAGCTTAGGATTTCAACCCAGTTGTTTGTGATCAAGGTCACTGTTACTGGAAATAGAAATTCAGTTTCTGTTCAACAACTTGAGTTTGCTTTGGCCTATTGATGCCAAACTTTGCATACTTGTAACTTATATCAAGAGGAAGCTTGGAATTTTTACCCAGGTGTCTGTGATCAAGGTCAAGGTCACTGTTGCTAAAAATAGAAATTCAGTTTCGGCTCAATAACTTGAGTTTTCTTTAAGCTATTGACGCCAAATCAAGAGGTAGATTGGGGTTGCTACCCAGGTGTCAGATATCAAGGTCAAGGTCAATGTTGCTAAAAAATAGAAATTCATTATCTGCTCAATAACTTGAGTTAGCTGTTGACAGCAAATTTGGTGTGTGGGTAGCTTATATCAGAACGCAACTTGGGACTGCTACCCAGATGTCTCTGATGAAGGTCAATGTTGATGCTGTTAAAAATAGAAATTCAGTCTCCGCATAATAGCTTGAGTTTGCTTAGACCTATTGACACCAAATTTAGTATGTGGGTTGCTTATATCCATGTATCTGTGAACAAGGTTAAGGTCAATGTTGTTAAAAAAAAATTCAGTTTTCATGTAATTACTTGTATTTGCTTTGACCTTTTGACACCAAACTTGCTGTGTGGCAGGTTGGGATTGCCACTTAGTTGTCTTGGAGCGAGGTCATGGTCACTTGCTTACAATAGAATTTTCAGCTTCTACTGAATAACACCAGTGCACTTTGACCTATTGATTCCTGTCACATCAATACATTGTCGTTGAAAACCTGGTTTATCGCATTGGGAAGCTTCTCGTTAAAACTAATATTGAAATGTGAATCACTGATACTTTGGATAATAAACAGAATTTTCTCATGTTTGTAGGACCTCGTCATTCCGATCTCCTGATGGAAAACCCCATTCCTGGCAAGCATACTGGAATTTTTCTAAGTACTAATCACACTTAATGTGATTGAGATTTGTCAACTCGTGCATTTTGTGTGCTTCTTTAACCAGTGTGCAAATTTTTGGCTTTTTTAATGCTTTCGGTGAAATGAAAAATCAGCTTTTATATCTATTTATAAATTTTTCAATATTTTCAATGTCTGTATAAAAAGATGCATGCTATTTCGAATTTCACTTGTTATTGGGATTAATTCAATAACCAGTAAAGCAAGTTTTTTATTAATTTGAATAAGACTGTATTTTGTTTGTACTTTAACAAATAATGTGTTAATTATGCATGTGACATGAAATGGATGGTGTTTTAACAAAATGGAGCGCATGGCAAAATAATGCAGAATGGCAAAATCTACACCAAATAATTGTTCTTGAAATACTTATTGAAGGTTCAATATTTTACAATTATATATTGTACATAAACTCATGTGACTAGTTAGGTGTAATATCTGGACCTGTTACACTTTGACCTCGATAGTTTAATTTATAACACAGATATCATGATAATTATGACACCATTAATACTATTGATATCTGTTCTTATTACTGTTTCTATAATGCTGTTTTTAGCAGATTTGTTTCATGTGTTTAATTGTAGGTGATGGAACATAAATTATACTAAATACATCTTCAAACTACTAAATTATTAAATTTGGTTGTATTTCAAATTGTTACTAGCAGTGAATGAGTTAAATATATTACAGTGTTATCACAAATAAGTAATGAAGATATCAAAGACAATTATAAATTTTATTATTATAAGTATGAGAATCATTATAATTAATGCTTGCAGTTATATTTGTAAAGTTATTCATTAAATATCCCCCACATACGCTGAGGAATTTTCCCATTATACACTGTAGTGCCTGTGAATTTATTTATTATTTAAAATTTAGATCTGCCAGATACATGGAAATTGAAGAAGGTCAGGGTCACTTGATTTTGAATCTGATCAGCAAAGCCAAATACTTGATTTTCAAATATTTTTTTTATTATTATTATTTTTAAACTTTAGATTGCAAGTAATTGTTCATTCTTACCTTTGCTATTAGTATAAGTGATAGGCCAGTCTGACCACAATCTTGTTTTTGGCTGCTCATTTTCATTATTTTAATACTGAAATTCCACCGACTAACATTGAACTGTTCCAAATTCAAAGCAGGACAAGTCCATTATAAAAGTTCAGCGGGACATGGGCATCTGTATCAAATGAATTAGGTTACTATAGTTAGATCCCTATACCACCTTTTTAAGGTATCTTGTAACATACTTGCAATACAATCAATGTGAAAAATGATAGATAACTTCTTACCTGGCAAAAAATTCCTAGATGTGATGTCAAAATGTCAATTAGAAAGTTTAAGATGCATTTTGAATAAGCTTTGATCATACAAATAAAATCTACCTTCAAAAATCAACAAATTTGCATATTTTAAAGAAGTACAGGTTTCATTTCCTACCAAGATGTTTTTGAGTGTTAAAAAAGAATATTATCTAGAGGAATATATTGATTGTGACACTAAACAACAGAGGACATGGAGTCATGTTGTATTATACAGGTGTTTTATATTTACATATCTTAATGTAAATGCCAAATTCTGTTAAAGAAATTTTAATCACAAAAAGATAAAAAGATGAAAAGTATTCTTTAAACATAAATTTTATATGCTTTCCATTGTTTTTTGTTGTCTATTTATCATATTTTATTGTAAAACTTATATATTGTTTACCAGTCAATGAAAAAAAAATCCTTTGACCACTTAGCAAGAAAAGATTTTAAATTAATTATCAATTTTTCTGTTGCAGGGTCAATGATAAAATGTCTAAGAAGCAGTCTAACTTCAAGTCAAAGAATACTCCAAACCACCACAGTGTTTTGATCAGTCCTCAGCCCTTGCAGTCAGAGAAAAGCCACCTTCATGATAAGTCACTTGAAAAATTACGCACACAGAAAAGGGAGACAACTATGTTTGAAACAATGAGAAGGGATAAGGAAATGATTAGTTTCCCTGAAGTGAGAGGAGCAGAAGGTTTGTACATGATACAAAAACATTGGTTCAAGATAAATTGTATTAGACAAATATTTGATTTGATATTTAAAGGTATTGTACATGGGTCATAGATGTTTAAAGGTAATCTTTACTTTAGTTGACTTACTGAGTCACATTCTTTCACAGAATTAGATCAGTAGAAAATATACCCTTGTATTATTCAGATATTCTAGCTATCTCATTACTTCTAGTTCTATTTTCTCTAGATGGCTTTAGATTAATGAAGGAATCCTATGCTTATTATTGTGCAAAACATTCAAAGAAATATTTTGAAAGCATTTCTGGATTGAAAGTGTGAAAATTTCTCCTGTTTGTTTAGTATAGTGATAAAAACAAATTATATGGGATTCCTGCATTAAATATTTATAAAATGATGAAATAATCTAATTCCTTTCTATGATATAACCTAGATTTATTTCTGCCAGCAGAGTAGCCTTTCTTTAGATGAACCATTTAAAAGATATGATGTTTCCATGGGAACTAATGTAGATATATGATAAACTAATGAAGCTAACAGTGTCCACTAATCCCTTGTTTGCAGCCGCTCCTCAGAAATCCAAGACGAAGTTGCCAACAAACCAGAGGTCGAATATCGCTACCATTCCACATATAACAAATATAGACCCTTTCCCAAGTAGTAGTCAGGTAAGCCAATTAATTCCATTCTGCTGTGTTACCATGTTTAGACGTTTAAGTTTACAGCAGATCCTTAACATTTCATTGCAAATTTCTTTTCCCTTTATGCCTTCTTCATGATAAGTTTCTATCCCTGTATTATAATTATACCTTCTTCATTGTATGATTTCATTTCCTTCAGCCTGTCTGATTATTTATAACAAATTTACCCAGACTAATCCTCATGGTGTAAACATGCAATGGATCCATTGTCACTTTTTCTTCATATTTAAACAATTGCGTTTATTTGGGATTACAAATCCCACCCTGTAAATTTTTTTTCTTAGTGTAAAAAAATATTACCTTTTTATTAAACATCCAGAGGAAGCACTTTAAGAACAGTCTTTATTCATGCTGAACTCCCAGAAACCTCAAACTGGAAAATTGAAAAAGAATTTCTCTGTTATAAGTTATACATATTGTCATTAGGAAGTAACAGTTATTAAAATAGGAAAGAAATCAAGAAAAAAAACATTTAACCCAAGAATGGTTTGCTCACTGACATGAAAAATTATTTTCTAAGATGACAGTTGTCTTATTTCTGGTTTAAGTTTTAATGAAGGCTGTTTCAAAAGCGTTTTTTCAGATATTTTGTAGAATTATATGATAGAATTCCTCAATTTTACATTCCATATTTTGTATATTATCAATCAGTCAATTTTCCCATCTCTTCAAAATTCTCGTGGTTTTGTTGCAGTAAGTATACACTTAACTTGTTATGTAAGTATAACACATTATCATCACAAAATTTACAACTTCAGAGAAATGTTGTCTGTCTGTAAAATATCATTTTGCAATCACTGACAAAATAGTTGTTTTATACTACACTATATGTATATGATGTACATGTATATTATTGATTGCTGGAACCAAAAGTGATCAGCCTTTGCCATCAGTATAAAGTATAAGAATCTTACACTGGCTGCCGGTACAGACCGAAATATCTCGCTCGAGAGTAACTGTTAACGGCGGTAAACAGACTCTGCCGATTTTCCGCTAAACAGTTACCCGTGAGCTAGTTATTCCCGTCTGTACCAGCAGCCGGTATTTGATTCTTTTTCTTGCATATAACATATCAATTATTTGTAGAACAGAAATTATGAAAACTGATATTCTCATTACGCACTTTTTCTTATAGTAGCGTATCAACTTCATTCATAACAATAAAATGACGTCATCCTAAGAACGCAAATCATTCATAAAAGGCGCGTGGCAATGACATCATTTAGAGCACGCGACTTGTCTTACACAGGGGGTGTAAGACAGAGTTTTCTAGCACCGGTGTAAACAGTAGATAATCCTGTCTGAGATGCAAGAATTAGGTCATTCTGCACATCATTCTCTTCAGTCTGATCAGCTGTTCAGGCTCTGTACTATTGGTAGCTCATTTTTTTTTTTTTTTTTTTTTTTTTTTTTAAGTTCTTCATACTTGGCCACAACAACCCTTGGGACAAGTCCTTCAAGAAGATCAAACTAAACTTGACCTTTATTCATTAATAACCTTGACCTCAAGGTCAAATGTCTAAATTTTGCTTGAGTTCTGCTATTAGTGGCTATAACTTTGTTATGCCCCCACTTCGAAGAAGAGGGGGTATATTGCTTTGCACTTGTCGGTCCGTCCCTTCCGTCGGTCCGTCCGGTCCGTCGGTCCGTAGACCAAATGGTTTCCGAGTGATAACTAAAAAACCCTTAGGCCTAGGAACTTCAAACTTGGTATGGTGATTGGTCATGACCAGTAGATGATCCCTATTGATTTTGGGGTCAAGGGGTCAAAGGTCAAGGTCACATTGACCTTGTATGTTAAAACGGTTTCCGATCAATAACTGAAGAACGCTTAGGCCTAGGAACTTCAAACTCGGTATGGTGATTGGTCATGACCAGCAGATGACCCCTATTGATTTTGGGGTCAAGGGGTCAAAGGTCAAGGTAGGTAAAAACGGTTTCCGATCAATAACTAAAGAACGCTTAGGCCTAGGAACTTCAAACTTGGTATGGTGATTGGTCATGACCAGCAGATGACCCCTATTGATTTTGGGTCAAGGGGTCAAAGGTCAAGGTCACATTGACCTTGTAGGTAAAAACGGTTTCCGATCAATAACTAAAGAACGCTTAGGCCTAGGAACTTCAAACTTGGTATGGTGATTGGTCATGACCAGCAGATGACCCCTATTGATTATGGGGTCAAGGGGTCAAAGGTCAAGGTCACATTGACCTTGTAGGTAAAAACGGTTTCCGATCAATAACTAAATAACGCTTAGGCCTAGGAACTTCAAACTTGGTATGGTGATTGGTCATGACCAGCAGATGACCCCTATTGATTTTGGGGTCAAGGGGTCAAAGGTCAAGGTCACATTGACCTTGTAGGTAAAAACGGTTTCCGGTCAATAACTAAAGAACCCTTAGGCCTAGGAACTTCAAACTTGGTATGATGATTGGTCATGACCAGTAGATGACCCCTATTGATTTTGGGGTCAAGGGTCAATGTCATTGTGACCTTGTACTTAATGACCGTTTCTAACCAATAACTCAACAACTCAAGTTGCCTTGGTTGATATTTTTATGTGCTTTTGGTATACACATTTGAAGGTCTTATTTAATATAACAACTTGGCTGTCATTAATGAGGCCTATGTGATTCATAAAATTTATGTATATATTATTTGGTAAGATTTTTAATAACTTTAATTGCTGCACACAACCTATGGGGTCACAATAATTATTACCTTGTGACTAGTCATGACCAGTAGATACTAGATAACCCGTATTAATTGCTTGTTCACTGGGTCAGAAGTCATGCATAATAACCTGATCACATGACAAATTGGCTGCCGATAGGGGGCATACATGTTTTACAAACATATCTTGTTATTTTTGAATGGATTGTCTTTAAACTTAAACACAACTATCTTAGATTAAGTTTGAAGACAATCCATTCAAAATAACAAAGTAAAAGATTCTTTTAGAATAGACCTTCAAGTTAGCTAGAAAAACCTTGAACTTCACTCATAAATGACCTTGACCTTGAAAGTCAAATTATTGAAATTATCTTTTTTTTGCTGTAACTGGTTAAGACACAACATTCTTTGGGATAATATCTTTATTAAACGCAAATTATAGCATAAAATTGACTATTTTCCCCTCTTTTGCCCATGTTTTAACGGGACCAAAACCATATGTTAACAGAGTCACGCATTCTTGTTATAGCCCGCTTTTGCCTATGCGCAATACATATAAAATATTAAAAAAATTTTGAAAATGTACAACAATTTGACCTTTTTGCCAAAAGAGTCATGTGCTCTTGTTATTGACATCATGTTTTTTAAGGGCTTTATCGCAGCAACCAAGTACCTAGCCGGAAATACTGCGAATAGACATTGCTGTTAATCTTGGTTGTTGCTCCTTGTAAGAAAAGTCAACCGAAATAAAAAACTAAAAATATCTTCTTATAGAAAAGCGAAAGAGCTAGAGCTTAAAAATTTGGCATGAAACATCATCTAGTCAGTGTCTACCAAGTTTGTTCAAATAAATGCCCTGGGGTCAAAATTGGCCCCGCTGGGGGGGGGGGGGGTCATTGATTTTCCTTATTTGTAAATAGTAAAAACTTAAAAATTCTTCTTTTAAAAAACCCAAATAGCTGGACTCAGGTTAGATATTAAGCATGAGTTTGTTCAAATAAAAGCCCTTGGGTAAAAATTGGCCCCAACCCAGGGGGTCATTTTTTCCCCCCTTTATGTATATAGTAAAAACTTAAAAAACCTTCTTTTAAAAAACCCAAAGAGCTAGAGGTAAGATATTTAGCATGAAACATCTTCTAATGGGTGTCTACCAAGTTTGTTCAAATAATGGCCCTTTGGTTTAAATTAGCCCGGCCCCAGAGGTCATTGATTTTCCTTATATGTGTATAGTAAAAACTTAAAAAATCTTCTTATAAAGAACCCAAAGAGCAAGAGTTTAGATACTTAGCATAAAAGGTCTTCTAGTGAATGTCTACCATGTTTGTTCAAATAAAAGCCCTGGGGTCAAAATTGGGGGGGGGGGGTCATTGTTTTTCCCTATATGTCTATAGTAAAAACTTAAAAAATCTTCTTATAAAAACCCCAAAGAGCTAGATCTTAGATATTTATCATGAAACATGTTCTAATGGGTGTCTACCAAGTTTGTTCAAATAAAAGCCCCTGGTTTAAAATTGGCCTTGGCCCAGGGGCCTATATACAGGTGAGCCATTTTCTGAGGGTCATGTTTTGTCTTTGGTAGAGTATTTTTAAAAAGATTTCTTGAGTTAATATATCTCTAATGTTAAGCTTTGTTAAATCAATTTAAATTCGACATTTTGTTCGGCTCTGAGCATTTGTATTTCCCAAGTTGTTGGCCTCGGAAAAATAAAACTCAAACTGTTTCCACAAGGATTACATATATTTGTTTTGTATTAAATAAACATCATAAATCTGGATTAAAATTTTATGCTTTAATATCACCAACGCACGTTTATTTCCTGTTATAAAGTCTGCAGAGTTCCTCGTAACTGTTGGAGCCATCGCCCTAATGGGCTCAGGCACCAACTGTTACTCGGGACTCTGCAGACATTATAACCGAAAAACGTGCATTAACCCTATATTGACCTTGGCTCATTCATGATCTTGACCTTGAAGGTTAAATTATTGAATTTTCACTGATTTTGCTGTAATTGACTGTAACTTGGTAATTATTTAATGGTTTATCTTCATACTTGTACAAAACAACCTTTTGGACAAGACCTTCTAAAAAGTTGAACTGACCTTGAGCATTAAATGACCTTGACTGTCAGGGTCAAATAATTTAATTTTTGTTAAATTATTATAATTTTGTTTAAGTATTTAACTACAAATTTGACTTATACTTGGAGGAAACAAGACTTGCTACCAAACAAATATATTGAATAATTTAAATGTGAGCTTGACCTTTGTTTTTTCTATAACAGACTGTAATGTAACTTTGTTATTGGTCCCTACTGGTTTAACCAGAGGGAACTTAAGGTTTACACACCGTTTGTCCACAAAAACTGGATCCTGTGATAATGCTAAAAGTACTTAAAATATTTGTATGAAACTTGAAATATTATGGTAGATGGCAGTCTGAAGATTTTGCACGTCTTTACATTTTCTTCCTATGTTGAAAATTTTGATTGCTATGGCAACAAGTAGACTTATAATATGGCAAATATAACAATATTTGGGATAAATAAAAAAAGTCCTGAAAATATTGTTATGAAACTTGAAATATGGATACTTAAGATGACAGTATGGAGATTATGCATGTCAAATTTCTTAATGTATCTACTTCAAACTTCAAATTTATGTTTCTTATCATCACCCACATCATATGTGGCAATGTTCATAATTCTAGCACCTATATTATCAGCATTAAAATTCTTGAACTTTTCATGAAAAAAATGTTGTTTGTTTTCTATAACTTCTTTATTTTTTAAGGTATCTGCTTCAAACTCCAAGTATATGTTCCTTATTATATCTTAAAGCATTTGTGAGAAGATTCAATACTATTTCAAGAATTATGTCCCCCTTGAACTTTTTTTTTCTAGACAATTTTTTTCTTCATTTTTTAGCTCAACTATTCGATAAGAATAAGTAGAGCTATTGTAGTCACCCGAGCGTCGGCGCCAGTGTCAGCGTCGGCGTCTGCGTCGGCGTAACCACTTATGTTAAAGTCTTTGTAATAGTTCAAATATTTTCAAAGTCCATTGACATATGGCTTTGAAACTTTGCACACTTGTTCACCATCATGACCCCAACCTGTAGACAGGAGGAGGTAACTCTATCAAGCATTTTGACAGAATTATGCCCCCTTTTCCACTCGACTTAGAATTTATGTTAAAGTTTTTGTAATAGTTCAAATATTTTCAAAGTCCATTGACATATGGCTTTGAAACTTTGCACACTTGTTCACCATCATGACCCCAACCTGTAAACAGGAGGAGGTAACTGTATCAAGCATTTTTTTTTACTATCAAGCACTAAGAATAGTCGAGCGTTGCTGTCCTACCGACAGCTCTTGTTAAAGGTCATAATAATATGACAAGGTTTATAAATCTAGTGTCCATATTTCCAGATGAATTTTGATAATGATATCCACTAAAACTTCAAATGAACTGTTCCAAATTCAAAGCGGGCTAAATCCATTACAAAGACATTACACAAATTTAGCAGATTAAATGCTTTATAATTATGTTGATAAAAAAGTGTTAATGGCAACACATTTTAGGATAAATTTTTTGGAGGGAGAGGGGTATTTTGTCCAGTCTGTTTGTCTGCGAACAACTTGGTAGAAGCAATCATCTGAGATGGATGGGAGAACATTTGTCTTAAAATGACCCCAATATTAAGATATCAAAATATGATCAATCTGTGTCTTCATTAGACCTTATTACTCACTTATATTTTTTTTATAATTCTCATATCTCTTTTGTAATCAAAACCTACAGTCCAACCCCAATTATTCGACAATCCTTTATTCAAATACCCGGCATTATCCAAAATAGATCGGCGGTCCCGTTTTTATCTCTATATAAATCAATATAAATACGAACGTATTATTCGAAATGCATTATCCGAATACCTCCTATTTTTTGAAGTAAAATTTCGGTCCCGATTATACAATTATGAAAGAATTTCACACCTATTATTCGAAGCCAGACTAATTGGCGCAGATCCACTCGCTGACCGGTCGACTTGTGAAAAAATATCAACAGTCATGCATGTATTTAGACAATCAGGCTTTGCACAAAACGATACATAATGTAGAATAAAATGCAAGTACTTATGTCTTCAATGCCAGTAAAACAATTTTTAAGCATCTCTTCTTTAATTTTTATTTTTCTCAATTGATTGCAGGAAGCAAGTTTGTTGTAAATGGTAGTTTTGCTATGATTGGCCAAAGTGAAGTAGTTTTCGTCTATCAAAATATTTCGATTTCGATTATTCGAACCCATTGATTATTCGAAGTAAATTTTCAGTCCCAGGCACTTCAAATAAATGGGGTTGGACTGTATGTAAAAATTGTTGTTAATACAATAGTCTTAAGCAAATTGGTCATACTATGTCCATTATTAATTAAAAAGGCTTTTACCTTGAATATATGCAGAATAGTGGACTAAACCCTGGAGCGCTGGAATAATATTTGGCTAAGGTTTTGTGTTCAGCTTTTCTCATAAACCATTGGAAGTATTTTCTTGTTACTTCACATAACTAAGATAGATATGTGGTATTACATTCCATATAAATTTTACAGGGTCCCTTTTTATAAGACTTGAAAAACTTCTTCTTTGATATAACAAAAATCTGGAAAAAGTGTGATCCCTCAGAGGCATGAATCACAACAAAAGTACATAAAAACTGTAAACTCTGTTTGATTGAGTCTGTACATGAGGGATAATTAAAAAGTGCAACATCCCTGATGCCCCTTAGCACTCCCTTGAGCGTAACTCAATTTTCGACATTAATAGTGCTGGCATCAAAGATCCCGAAGGACCAGAAAAATATAACAACAGTAAAGTGAAGTATGGGGCAACTTTTTACGGCTGCCTCACATCACTAGACACCTGCTGTTGTGAATACTTAGACATTTTGAATCTCCTTTTCCATTTATAGAGTTGAGCAATATAGGTCCATTTTGACATCTTGTTTTATATTCATTGTATGTTCTTCATAGTTGTTACATGTTGTTAAGCTTTTGATGACTTAATGTTGTCAGCACATTACAACCTTTGTAGACCTTTACATGACACAGGTCTATAGGTGGAAGATACAAAATGTAAACCTTATTGCAATCATAATAATCATATGAATAGGTCTTTGTGTCATATCTACATATTAAAGCTCAAAGGGTCATTCTAAAAATGCATTGACACATGATGTCATGTTTAAATATGACCTTTTTGAGGTGAAGGTCATTTACAAAAATTATACATGTATTTATTTTGGATCTTGTCTAATTAAAAAGCTTTAATGAATCAAATGAAAGCTAATAGGCAGAAGTAGAATTTAGAATACAGATTATTTATAAATATACAGTTGATTTTAGTGTACTTAGTATTCTGTATTATTGTGAATTATGTAAAAAATATGGTTGGAAAGGTCATTTTGTAATGAACTAGCTTCTAAAGGATATAAATGATGAAAAAATTACAGCCTTGAAAAGACAAAAGACATAAGATATGCATGTTTGCAAGTAAGTTGAGATAATTGTCTTTTAAAGCCCATGAAAGATTTTAATTCCTGCCTTAGGTGTTCAGATGACATGCAGAAAACGACATGCCGGTATGTGTACTCAGCGTCATATAGTAACCCAAAGAGGAATAAGTTAATGTAATCTTTCCTAACATTAAAACAACTGATGTCTTTGTATTGTGATAAGCATTGTATTTACAAACTAATGATGTTACAAACAAGGGATGCTACAATATCTGTGTTACTTCTTTATTTGGGTGTTTTAAAAAGAGAGGAAAGGAGCTCTACACATTTTAAAAGTTTATAAAATTCGAGGTTATTGACCTAGTTTCAGCCTCGTAGTCATAGTTCAAGGTCAAGTTCACGTCCTATGGTTTACAGATATGTTGATGCACGTTCTCGTCTTTGGTACAACAGTAACCGACGCTACACATGTCCGCCACGCCAGAACACTCAGGTGTTGGTAACCATACTCACTTAATGAATTGCATGATGTTGATTAGGTGCTTTATTGCTTAAAAAATTAGTAGAAGTAAATTAAAAAACAGTGTATCAGTTATGTGGCTTCTGAGTTATTAGATGACTGAAAAACAATTAATTTTATGTATGGAAGTATTTAGCTTTTGTCTGTATCTCATACACATAGTATAGATAATATGGAATATTATGGTTACTATAGTTGTAGTTATAGAAAAACTTCTCTCTTGTAACCTGCTGAAACATCGGCATAAATATGATGATATAATAATCATAAATAAACTCTTAATATGGCACTTGTATATGCATGCATTATAGTGAAAATAGATTTTGTTCACTACTCAAAATTCTACATCCTCAATGTCACTCATGTTCACTTACTATTTAAAGGTTGAAAATTGTGTGAATGTTAATAAGTCTCTTAATACCCCAAAGTTCACAGCCATAGAAAACTTGGTTGGAAAATTTTACAAGAACATATTGATTTTAGGTATAATCTTGCTTTAGCATTAGAGTAACAAGATATTTGTAACATTTGTTGAAATACAAAAATAACATTTTCTTCTTAATTTTTTCATAATTATGGAAATAAGCTATTAATAAAAAGTAATGTGAGAATTGTCACATTTTCATCCATTTATTGACATACTTCACTGATTATAAATACTATTGATCATCATATATTGCATGATAATGGCTTTCTGATTTTCTGTGACTTTTGTATCTAATTGTGACAGAAGCATGTTACAAATATAGGAAATAACTAATCACCAAATTATCACTAATGCCATCCTAACAATTATAAACATGTAAACATTGAAATTTACAAATGATATTCTTGTATTAGCCATAAAGCTTATTCTTTTTATGCCAACATACCCTGAAAATAATTTAGACATGTGACAGAAAAAAATTCATGAAAGTAAACAAGGTGTAAAGTGCCTCTGTACTCTGAATTACTTTCAATATTGTATCAATTAAATATGGTATTTACAAGTATGACAATAACATTGTTATGATTATTGTTCATAATTATGGTTTTTATTTTAATGACTGATGCTTAAAGTATTAAATTCAATTTTACTGCAGAATTTCAATATTTTCATTTGTTTTAAGGTGGGATGTATGGCTTTAACTTTAAGATGAAGATTGTGAATTGTTAAAATGAATTAATTACTTTTGAAATTATAAGAAATTGTACTGACTTTTACTACCATATTGTTGGAACTGATATGAGGGTGAAGCTTCATGGTGTATAGTGATGAATTTAAAATACAGTGATCGATTTAACAATATATTGTGACATATTGTTTTTCTTTCATAAACCTAATTTTTATAGAAAATTGTTCCAAGTGATCTTTAAATTTCAATCCTTTGGTCTGGTACTTAAATCTGTAAGTATATTTTCAGGTGGAAACTCACAGTTCAGAAAAAAACAGCGAGAGCAACTTACCCTCAGTATGATGTCCCGTCTGCTTCCTCCAAATCATCGGCGGGAGTTACCTTGACAACAACTCAGGGGCAAATAACTTCTGATAACAGTGAAGTTGGTCCAACATTTGTCGGGCCAACTATTACAATGATCAAATTCTAAACAAAAAGGTGCTTTCGGAGAATTAGTCAGGTGATTGTTTCTATATTGTGAGCATTTATCAACAAAAAGAAAATCAGGTGAAGTGACGTCTGCAAAGTTGAAGGTCATGGGAGGTTTAATTATTTACATTGAGATAATCAATTGTGTAATCCTTGTTTTTGTTTAAGCTTGATATGTTATTTTAATTAAAACCCTGAATTTGAATTTAAGCAAAATTTGTCAAAATCCATGATTACAGTAAATACTTATATAAAACTTACGGATTTACAACCAAGTTAAGGGGTATAAAACTTACGGATTTACAACCAAGTTAAGGGGAAAGGGAAGTCAATATTTTAAAGAATTAGTGCAGCATTGAGGAAAATAAATAAAAAGCATTTAAATAATTTCCCTGAATAATTCCCACCATTTCAAAACTTAAAATTAGTATTTATGCTACAACAGAATTGATGTGTGTTTTGCCTATGTTGATTGCTATATTTTTGTAGATAAGAATAATGGCATTTACTTTCCTTAGATAAAATTTTGGAAAGATTCTTTCCTGTCCAGTTTTGCATTTCTATTCTTCTCTTCTTTATATATTACCAAAATATACATGTATATACACAGGGTTTATATTTAACAAAATACAAACAAAATAACAGTATTGTAGAATTCACAAAGTGCAATCAGTAGATAAAATATCATTTGTAAATGTTTGTGTAGATAACAGCAAGACTTTTTTAAAAAAGGAAATGAGACAGTGAAAATAAAGTTTGCCTCTAAGAGGTTGATGCATGCACAAATTACTCATAAATACTATATATTTATCAACTAAACGTTTTGTCTTTGTAAATTCATCTCGAATAGTTGGCAAGAATTTCTCTTGAAAAAATTTCATTTCTATTTTTGGCATGCAATATGGTGTCATGAATTTGAATGGGCAAACATTTAAATATATCATATTTAGATGTATCTATTTTAAACAATGTATTCATGTATCTGTGAGTATACATGTATAATCAACATAACTGTGCCTTCATAACCATCATGTGATATTTGTAAATACATTTATGATAATCATTATATGTTATATGTAAGTTAATATGACAAATATGCAAGACATCAACTGTTAGCCTGCTAGCTGGAACCCAGTGATTAGCCTTATACTCTTCATGGTTCTATATACGCTATCCCTTCATTTTTCTTATAGAACTGTTCCAAATTTAAAGCAGGGCAAATCATTAATAATTTCAACAGGTTAAATGTTAAAATTGACAAGACCAGTCTAAAAATATAAGATTGGTTAGATTGATTTAGCCAATCAGATGTGTTCCATATATAGACTGGACTATGTTTTCAAGTTTTATGATAATAAGTTGAAATAAATAGACAAGCTACACACACAAACATTCAGTAATTATTTATTTTATGATAATTAGTTGAGCACTTAAACAGTGCTAATATTATGAAGCACTGAACCAGTCTCTCTTGTAACAATATGGTAAATAAAGAAATGATTTGGCATATAAACTGTTTTGAGCAAACACGTTTTGAGAAATGTGCATTTATATAGTCTTTTTAATTCATTAGCTCTCCAAATTAATTTTCTAAACAAGAAATTTAACATGGTAATTTGTTAAAACACAATCTTGATATAATGATAATATTCTGAGTGAAAAATACTCTTTCATTTATATCATTTCTTTGTTTACAGTGGTAAGTCTGCAATTTAGAAAAGTTTAATGTTGTTTATGTAAACAGATTTATTTATCAAATGTTTAAAGATACACACTGTACATGAGAATTATATTTACATACAGATTTAAGTGAATATTATTTTTACACAAAAAAATACAGTATTTTATCAGTGTAATTTGACTACATATGATTTTGTTCCTTATTAAATACTCAGTAAAGTATATGTATAGTATATATAAAGTTAACATATTAAACATGTGCCAAACTTAAGGACTGATGGTGAAGCTAAGGGTAGTTTGATGAGTGATTTGAACAAATAATGACCTCGATGCATGAATGCTGTATCTGTATAGTACTTCAAAACCAGATAAAAAAAAACATACCCTCAAACACCTATATCTAATCTACACTCATATGGTGTTATATTGTAAAGAAATATTTATTTTTTATTATTTTTTTTTTGTTACTTTATTATTTACTTTTTTTTTTTCAATACAATGCATTTTTTCTAATACTGCATTTGCTTTAAAGGAAAAAGCTTAATTTTGGGATTTCTGTAGTTTCAAGATATACAGTCAAACTGTATTTGTTTTAACATATTTTGTTCTTTACTGAATATAAGATTTTTAAATTCAGTTTCCAAACCCACATTGTGGAAGACTGTTGTCTCTTTGGTTATATTCAGGTGCCTATTTGTATCTGTCTCCAAAAAAGCTTGAATAACTATTAAAATGTTAGTGTGACTTTGAACAACAGTATATCTTTTGACCATTGCCATGTGATGAGACCAGTTGTAACCTTTATGTTATCTCACAGTTGCTTACAAAATAGGAATTGAGTTGTTGTTTTTTTATTTTAAAGCAGCATGCCTCCTTATTTCTGCTAATTTTCATGAAAATTTTGAAAATGAATTAAAAACTAAAATATTTTCAAGTGAACAAAAAAAGTAACTTTTTCGTCACAAACAGCTCTTTCTAAACTATGAAATAAATGCCAATATATGCAATAAAGTGCTTACTGGTTAGTCACACAGTAGAACTAAGGTGATCAACCCTGCAAAATCAGTCATTCGTTGCATGAAACATGAACATTATTTCTTGAAAAGTAAGTATTTTTACTTTTCTTAAAATTTTAGTACATTTTTATTAAAGTTGATTTTCATATAATGGGTCATATAACCTGTCAAATATCTATATATCTTAAACTTTGGTATTAACTATAAAAATTATTTTAAATATACACAGCTATGTATCACACTACTGATGGTGTATTGTATTTTCGAAATGATTGCTAAAATTTGAATATGTGTATTTCTTCAACAATTCTTTTGTTATTTGATTTTATGTAGTTTTCTGTAAACAGGAAATGCATGTAATTGACTCTTGTAAAATAATCTCTATTTATTTCTTCAGTTGTTTACAGTCTGTACATTATTGTTCTAAACATACTTTTCAATGGATCATGTCAGTATCTGTTATAAATGTAAAAGAGTAGAGATTAAGTTATATTGTATTTTGGATCAGCTCGTTTTGTTTTTTATTGCTCATTTTCAGGTGGATTTATCTAAACCTGCTTAAAACTAAAATCACTAGCATTAAGATACCACATTAGTATATAGCAAGGCCAGTCTGTACATCTGTGCTATCTGACCAGGCTATATAATTATTGTTGGTAGCTAAATATTTGTACTCTGATATTGAAATCCCTTATACTTTGAATGGACTTTCCCATATACAAAGCCAAGCAAATCTATTAAAGGGCAAATGCATTAAAGGGCAAATCTGTTAAAGGGTAAATCTGTTAGAGATGTTAAGCAGGTTTAGGGTAAAGTAAGGTTGTTTTCCAACTTTTGCCAGTTTCAACACAAGGAAATAATTTTTGATGAAGATAAATTACTTGCAAGATTGATGTATTGTTATAATTATGATTCTCACTAGAATCACTGTTAGAATTCAATTCCAAGACAACTAAAATGACTCATTATTGCATTTCAGTAGAATGTCTGTTTTACTAGAAACAGTTAAAACATTGCAATGGACTTTTCTGTGATACCATGCAATGATTGGTTTTTAGCTCAACTATTTGAAGAATATGGAGAGCTATTGCAGTCGCCCCGGCGTCGGCGTCTGCGTTGGTTAAAGTTTTTTGTAAAGTCAAATATCTCAATTATTGCTTGAGATATTCAATTGAAACTTACAATACTTATTTGTAGTAACAACATACATCAGATTGACAAGTTGGATAAATCTGCCTACAATATTTACAGAATTATGCCCCTTTTTAACTTAGAAATTTTGGTTAAAGTTTTTTGTAAAGTCAAATATCTCTATAATTGCTTGACATATTCAATTGAAATTTACAATTGCTTTTTATAGTAACAATGTACATCTGTTTGCAAAATTGCATAACCGTTTCTGCAATATTTGCAGAATTATGCCCTTTGAAACTTAGAAAGTTTGGTTAAAGGTTAAAGGTCTTAAAAACTTTCAAAGATATTTACTTGAAACTTTACACATGTACTTAGGGTCATAATTGAAGGTCACATCCCAAGATTCATAACTCTGCCATGTATTTTGACTGAATTATACTCCCTTTTGTAATAAAAAAATCTCCTTTTCTTGGTTAAGTTTAACATGCAAGTTTTGCATATCTCAAGATACAAACTTGAAACTTCATTGTAGGACACTGACCAAGATCAATAATTCTATATTGCATTTATGCTGATTTTCTCCCCTTTTTCAACTTAGAAATTCATGGTAAAGTTTTGCTTGTAAGCTGTTATCTCCATAACTACTGAAGGGTTTGTGCCTTTTTTGGGACAGTTTTATGCATTCATAATAATAAAGCAGTGATTTACTTGATAAAACATCTTAATACCTTTTCGGTCAATTTTATGTATTCATAGGTAAGCATTATTATACTCAATAAAACACCCTTGTGACAACTTTTTCGAATAGTCTAGCCTTTCTGTCCTCCGACAGTTCTTGTTAATACTGTGATACATGGAATTCTTCCCACAAAATTGTTTGTGAACATTTGTACATTTATTACATTTATGATGTGTTTTTTATGACATTTACATGTAGGATTAAAAGATTATAGTTACCAATGTAATAATCATCTATATGTGTTAAAAGAGATTCAGGCCAGGGTAAGTTAAACAGTAAATTATGCCAAAAAAGCATGATAATCCAGATTCTGTATGATTTATAAGTTTGAGTATATTTTACTTGTTGTTTCTTAAAACATATTTATATGTTAAGAAATCTTAATAGTATATCAAAATAGTATATTGCTACTAGCATTTGTATTCATGGCATGGTTTCTGACTCCATGAATGGATAATTTTATAAAATAAACATGTTGACCAACCTAAAAATTAACCTCTGCCATTGGTTAACAAATTTCAAATCTACCAATCAAATGATAAAATTTCAAAATTTTCTCTTTCCTGACTGACACCAGTCCAGCTTGAGAAAATGACAAAGAAACCTTAAATCAAAGTTTTGATGTTACTTAAAATGAAATCATTTTGTTTTATAAAAAAGGTGGATATATTTAAAGTTTTGTTTGTAAAAATACACACTTGAAAATAGTCAATTGTTAAAGCATTAGGAAATCATTTTAACCAAGCCATTCTTATTATCAATAAAAAATTAATTATAAAGAGAAAGATGCTTGAAATTCAAAACATGTTCTCTCTTTTGTTAATTTGGGTAATAGTGTTTTGATTTACAAATTAATGATATCATGTTGGAGAATAGCAATGTTCTCTTGCTTTCATATTTACCGTTGTATTATTAATAATTTCCAAATTTTGTTTTAAATTTCTCTTTTAGTATTATGTATATTTGTTGTTCATTATTTTATTTTGTAAATGTTTGAATGCTCAAATTTCAATAGAATGTACCATAATTTATTGTTATATTGTCAATAGACATGTTATGAAGCATTCAACCTTTGTTGTTTTCATTATTCCGTTTACTATGAAAGTATGTATTGAAAGTCAAATATTAATGGTGTGTTATTGTACATAATTAAATTCCCATTTCATGGAAAAGTTAACATGTTGTATAAGTATAAAGATTATTGTGAAAAATTTACTAGTACTTAACAGTATTTCATGTTTAAATTAGTATTTATAAGCTGCCAGCACAAGAGTGCAGTTTTTGTCATAGAACTTTAAAGAAAATCTCCTGAGGTCCCAAAGCCTTGAAAGAAGGTTTAAAATTCTTGGACATGTAAAAGGTTAAAATATGAAAACAATAATAAAGAAATATACTAAAAATCAAATTGAAAATCAGTTATATTAAGGGCGATTCTTAGACCGATTTGAGTTAAAAGCATTTAAACACTTATTTTTAGGTATTTTTGCTCATTTTGGCAAAACAGAGTAGGAGAAGAGATTATTGGTATAGACCTACATCAAATCTTAGTTTAAAAAAAAAATATATATCCAGTCCCTTCATGTCAAAGAATGTGCCTTTAACATACTAGTGTTACTTCTATAGACTACTAAAGCCAGGCAAGCATACACATCTGTGCAGTTCAAACATACCATACTGATGGCTGATTGTAATGAAATTATGTTTAAGACAAATATGGTGGAATTTGTGAAAAACTCATTTTTGCCCCCAAAAATCTTTGCAAATAACTGATTTTGCTTTAATAGCGAGTATGTGACCCAATGTTGTCAATGACGGCACCGTCATTGCATACTCCTTATCAGGTTTCTTACTCTGGAC